CCTTTCCATTTCGTTTCTTTTCCTTCCTTCCTTCTCGTTCGTTCTTTCTTTTTCTTTCTTTTCTTTCTTTCTCCTTCCTTCCCTCCCTCCCTGCGTCCCTCCTTCCTCTCTTTTTTCTTCTCTTCCCCTCTCCTCTCCTCCCCTCCCCTCCTCCCCTCCTCTCCTTCTTTTCTTCTTTTGACATAGTCTCACTCTGTCACCCAGGCTGGAGTGCAGTGGCACCATCTCTGCTCACTGCAACCTCTACCTCCCAGATTCAAGCAATTCTCGGGCCTCAGCCTCCTAAGTAGCTGGGATTATAGGTGCATGCCACCACACCCAGCTAATTTTTGTAATTTTAGTAGAGATGGGGTTTCACCATGTTGGCCAGGCTTGCCTGGAATTCCTGACCTCAAGTGATCCGCCTCAGCCTCCCAAAGTGGTGGGATTACAGGCATGAGCCACCGAGCCCGGCCTTCATTTTTATTTTTTGAGACGGCCTCCCTCTGTCCTTCAGGCTGGCATGCAGTGGCATGATTGTAGCTCCAACTCCTGGGCTGAAACAGCCCTCTCGCCTCAGCCTCTGGAGTAGCTGGGACTACAGGTGTTGACAGTCATGCGCCACCTTACCTGGCTAATGTTTTTACTTTTTGTTTTTTGTAGAGATGGGGTCTCGCTATGTTGCCCAGGTTGCTCTTCAACTCCTGGGCTCAAGTGATTCTCCCGCTTCTGTCTCCCATAGCACCGAGATTACAGGCATGGTCCGCCACACCAGGCTGTACAGCCAAACGTTTCATCAGAGATGAATCTCATGGAATGTCGGGTGAAAGAAGCAGGACACAAACAGGTACATGCTGTGTGGTTTCATTTACATCAAGTTCAAAACCAGGCAAAGCCAGTCCATGCAGAGAGAAGTAAGGTGGGTCAAATAGTCTGTTTCTTGATTTAGGTGTGTGCACTCTGTGAAACTCATGGAGCAGTACATTTGCATATTACATGTTTCAATATGTATGCCATACTTCAATAGAAAACTTGAATTAAAATATTAACTCATGGCTGGGCGCGGTAGCTCACGCCTGTAATCCCAGCACTTTGGGCGGCTGAGGTGGGCCAATCACCTGAGGTCGGGAGTTTGAGACTAGCCTGACCAACATGGAGAAACCCTGTCTCTACTAAAAATTCAAAAGTAGCTGGGCATGGTGGCGCATGCCTGTAATCCCAGCTACTTGAGAGGCTGAGGCAGGAGAATTGCTTGAACCGGGAGGCAGACATTGCGGTGAGCCAAGATTGCACCACTGCACTCCAGCTTGGGCAACAAGAGTGAACTCTTGATTCAAAAAAAAAAAATTAATTCATATAGGTTTGGCAGTTGTAGGATTGTGTCTTTGTTCAGAAAAATGGTTACACATTAACTGTAGAGTGTCATTTCAAAAATTGAAGTGGATTTCTTCATTTAAATACTATGTGGTTTGGCCACACTGGTTCTTCTTTGCTGCAGTCCACACACTTGGAGAGCTTCATGCAGGAAAAAGCAAGGTGTCAGACCCTTTCTGTCGGGCCAGTGCCTCGGACGGTCAATGGTAGACGCTGCTGGGTCTGTGCACTTCTGTGCTTTAAGAGGAGATATTTTCAGACACCTACTGTGTGCTACTTTGTGTACAGTACGTCGATTTCACTCTGTCTACCATAGAAAGTTAGTGTAAGAGAAAAGCCCCTGAATTATATAGAGATGCTAAATAGCCTGCCTATGCAGGGACCTTTAGTGAGTTAGATACAAAGCTTAGATTCAATATCAAGTTTCATTCTGGCTCGTGGACCCTGTTGAGAACATGTTACCTTATACAGTCTGGGTGAAAATAGAGTGGCAGGAATATGGAAACAGTGTCTTAAAACATCAATCAGGTAATAGATAACCATTTACCTTCCAAGAATCAATCCAGGGGCCTTAAATAACCTGGAGCCCTCCATCCCCACTCAGGCAGAGTTAACCGGTCCCTCTCAGGCCTACGTTCCAACCAGAACACCTCATAACATTTCTGGTGTTGGCCTCAGTGTTGGCTCTTCCTGAAGACCTCAGTGCCTGAGTACCTGGCCCAGGTCTCAGCCCGGATGGGAAATCTGGAATGATTTTCTTAGTCCCTGTGACTTAGAATGGGTTCAGTGACATGAGGGCTTGGTGCAGAATTGCAGACAGCAAGGGCACTAGAGGACTGAGGTCTAAACATTTGTAGGGAAAGCAAAACTCAAGACATATAAGACAATTTCCCAACAGAATATCTTTGTTTATTTTTATTTTTTGAGACAGAGTCTCACTCTGCCATCCAGACTGGAGTGCAGTGGCATGATCTTGAGTCACTGCAGCCTCTGCCTCCCAGGCTCAAGTGATCCTCCTACGTAGCTGGGAGACTACAGGCGTGTGCCACCACACCAGGCAGATTTTTGTCTTTTTTTATAGAGACAGGGTCTCACTGCATTGCCCAGGCTGGCCTTGAACTCCTGGGCTCAAGCGGTCCACCCGCTTCGGACTTCCAAAGTGTTGAGATTATATTAGCAGGTGTGAGACACTGAGCCCAGCCTACCAGAATCACTTTCCATGTGAAATCCCACCACATGGTATGGTCAGTAGTTCCTCTGATGAAATTGAAAAGGATGAGCTTTCTCCAGATTCATTCTAAGGATGAAATCCAGCTTCCTGGAATGAGAACAAGGATTAACTCCACAAACAACCTCCTGCCCACACGTAATTCAGGAATCACTATAAAGTAACGCTTTCTGTACTTAGTAAATGAGAAACATAATATGCTTCCTGAGTAGAAAAGAAATTTAAAAGGCCTATTTTAGCCATTTCTTGAAAGCTTAATTTGAAGAAGGGATAAAGGCTGAATATATTCTGAGATCAACCCCAAACAATGGGAAAATATATAGGACATGCCTTTCTCTTATCTTGGATGAGGATAATAATTGATCTCCAGTTTCCTTCCACAAGGCAAGGAGTTTCAATCTTGAGTGCTGTGGTGTCATGGTTCTATAATCAGGCAAAAGTCAACAACACGCAATTATCTGCTTTATGCTGGAGTCCCAGTTCACCATTGAGACAAAAAAAGAATAATACCAGCTAGGAGCATCAGTTTTCAGTGGTGGAATAAAGAACCACAATGTACTCTCAATAGCTTTCACTAATGGAGATGAATTGGATAAAACCACTTGATCTCTTAAAACTTTCTTTATTTCACTGCCAAAGTGCTATCTAAAAGACAGCAATCTGTACCAAAGGCGGCTTCTTAAAAAAACAATGTTTAATTCCTAGAAATCTATTTTGGACAAGAGAGGCAATTAGAGAGCAGTGCAATTACCAAAGTTTATTGTTTAAGAGGACCTGGTCAGCTCAAGCCTTAACTTTGAAAGAAATTTAGATGCTTAGAGGGATAATGTGAGAGCTTTTCATAGATATTCACAAAAATCTACAGGCTGTAAAAATGCTGATGATTAATCTTGACTTTTATTCTTTCATTGTTCCCCTAACCACCCTGAGGTGGGTTTAAACCGAGAACTAGAAATGAGATTCTGAAATAATAGCCTTAGTTCCTCAGAGAAGAGGGGTCATCTTACTTCACCAAGGGAAGACTTGAGTGATTTTGCAATTTTTAAGCTTTCTCCATATAAATCCCCCTCTGCCATCAACCCATTTGCATTTTTTTTCTTCTTTTTTTGAAACAGCCTCACTCTGTTGCCTAGGCTGAAGTGCAGTGGCATGACCTCGCTTACTGCAACCCCCATTTCCCAGGCTCAAGTGATTGTCTTGCCTCAGCCTACCGAATAGCTGGGATTACAGGCGCACACCACAATGCCTGGCTAATTTTTTTTCTTTTCTTTTCTTTTTTTTTTTTTTTTTTGAGATGGAGTTTCACTCTTGTTGCCCAGGCTGGAGTGCAATGGCATGATTTCAGCTCACCTCAGCCTCCGCCTCTTGGGTTCAAGTGATCCTCCTGCCTCAGCCTCCTGAGTAGCTGGGATTACAGGCATGTGCCACCATGCCTGGCTAATTTTGTATTTTTTTTTTCATAGCGGGGGGTTTTCTCCATGTTAGGCTGGTCTCGAACTCCCAACCTCAGGTGATCCATCCGCTTCAGCCTCCCAAAGTGCTGGGATTACAGGCATGAGCCATCGCACCTGGTCCTAATTTTTGTATTTTTAGTAGAGATGGGGTTTCACCAGGTTGGCCAGGCTGGTTTCAAACTCCTGACCTCAAGTGATCCAACTGTCTTGGTCTCCCAAAGTGCTGGGATTATAGGCGTAAACCACTGCTCCCAGCTCATTTGTGTTCTTTTGATTTCTTCTGTGTCAGTCTCGGTCTAGCTGCCTCATCCAGGTGCAGAAGGAAGGGCAACCTTGGTTGACCTCCTGCCTTCCCACTCATTGTTCTGAGCTTGTTTCCTCACTGGTGTGCTAAGCACCTACTCTGTCCCAAATTAAGGGCATGCAACAGTCCTACATTTTAAGTTTTTGGAGGTTAACAGAGTCCATCTTCTCCCAAATCCTGCCTGTTAAGCAGCATCACAGGAAATGGCTGGTACACACAGTTGACAAACACCAGGAATCCCCAGAAAATAGGACATCAAGGAAAGACAACCACAGTATGGCAAGATTGGAGATGCCCAAGTGTCAGGCTCCTCAGACCAGCCTGAAAACAGGCAGACCATGGTAGAATTCAATCTTAAACCCAACTTCGACAAAATGAAGCTGAAAAGCCTTACAGGAATATCATTAGATCACTTTCTAAAGTCCCTGGGAACTTCAGTATCATGTGTGTTTTGAATCCAAGTCAGGCAGGCAGCTGCCAAAATTGAAAAGCAGGGTCTCTACAAGGACACTGGAATGACCCCTGGACCATGCTTTGCAGACAGACCCCTGGGGCAACTGCACATACAGCTAGTCCTTCCTGCCACTGACTGCAGACGCTTCCATGACGGGGACCATCAGAGTCACCAGCATTAATTAGCTTTGCTTCTTTGTCCTTGTAGAATTGAGAGAGCTAAGGTCACCTCCAGCCTCCGCGGGATAAATGCTCTGCTGGAATTCCTGAGCAGCACAGCCAGCCCCAGTTCTAATTTGAGAACCTGGGGTGATGAATGGCAAGAATGACAGAAATGAAGACGTCTGTAGCACTAAGGACACCTTTTAACTGTGTCACATTTGCCTAACTTTGCCTTAAATGTATCATGGTAACTGATAGTTTTGACTGAAAAATAAAGATCACTGATATGGTTTGCTGTGTCCCTACCCAAATCTCATCTTGAATTGTAGCTCCCACAATTCCCGGGTGTTGTGGGGGGGGCCCGGTGGGAGGTCACTGAATCATGGGGATGGTCCTGTGCTGTTCTTGTGATAGTGAAGACGTCTCACAGGATCTGATAGTTTTATAAAAAGCTATTTATCCTGCACAAATTCTCTCGTCTCTTATCTGCCTCTATGGAAGACAGGCCTTTCACCTTCTACCATGATTGTAGGGCCCCCCCAGGTACAGGGAACCGTAACTTTGAGTCCATTAAACTTTTTTTTTTGAGACGAAGTTTCACTCTTGTTGTCCAGGCTGGAGTGAAACGTGCAATGGAGTGATCGTGCAATGGCACGATCTCGGCTCACTGCAACCTCTACCTCCTGGGTTCAAACAGTTCTGCCTCAGCCTCTCAAATAGCTGGGATTACAGGCACCCACCACACCTAACTAATTTTGTAGTTTTAGTAGAGACGGGGTTTCTCCATGTTGGTCAGGCTGGTCTCAAACTCTTGGCATCAGGTGACCCGCCCACTTTGGACTTCCAAAGTGCTGGGATCACAGGCGTGAGCCCCCGTGCCCAGCCTTCTTTTTCTTTATAAATTACCCTGTCTCAGGTATATCTTTGTCATAAGAGTGAAAACAAATACAAACAGTGACATACCATGGTCCTATGGAGCATCATGTGACTCTCATGGGGTGGCCCTGCGTCTGCCCACTGTTCCCGGGTGAGAACTGCAGAGCGCATCTCTCTCTGCTCCCTGGAGCGCTGGCATAGGAAGACTTCTGGACTGGACTTGGGAGTCACAGCTCTGTTCTGCTTTTGTCCCTAATTAGGTGTGTGGTCTTGGTTGTTTCACTTTCTCAGTTTTCTTTTGCTTTCCGGAACATCTAAAGCTTCTCATGGTCCAAAAATTGTAACTGGTAACAGTAAGAGTAGTGACAGCACCCACTGAGAGTATCTACTGGGTTTAAGGAACCGTGCTGTGTCCTTTACATGAATTAGTTCATTCACTCACAACCTTTACCATCCCCATTGTCCAGCTAAGAAAAGTGAGGTTCAGAGGTTAGCCAGTAAAGGACAAAGCCAGGACCTGACTCTGGCCAGATTCTGAAGCCTGTGTCCTACTCACTCTGACAGTGCCCCTCAATTCCATCACTGCACTTACACATGGCACATCCCTAAGAAGCACTGAACTCAAGATGCTGCTTAGCTCGGCTGGCAAGTCCCAGAGAGAAGCTGCTCCATAGGCTTCTAGGCACTCAAGAGGCTCAGACAGGGTCTCACCCCTCCTCTCCCTCCTAACCCTTTAAACCACTTGTTCCATGTCCCAGACTTGCTTTTGTGGGGAGCTGATATTAATGAAATTGGCTAAGGGGCGATCTGTACCAGAGCACCAGCTTTAAAGGGTCTTGTGGGCAAAACCTACTGAACCATCAATGAGGTGGCAAAAAGGCTGTCCTCCAGCACAATCAACCAGGACTTCAAACAGTTTCTGAAAGCATTCAGTCCAGTCAGTGCACTGGAGCAGCCACATAGCTGCACAACGAACTCAGTCTCCGCTGAGCTGTTTCCCTGAACCTCTGGCTTCCAGTCACAGGCCACGCTCCTGAATCCAGCCACTGACAAATTCATCTCTTTGGCTGAAGGCAGACGGAGCCAGTGTGGATGAACCTGTTACAGAGAAGCCTCCTTTACAGCACCAAACTTCTAGCTACAGAAGGATTAGCACATACAAAAGACTGACCATTCCCGGATCAGATACCGCAGCTCATATATACATTCTAACATCACAAAAAACAAATGCACAAAACATCGTTAATCAAAAATGTGTAGAAAGCTGGGCATGGTGGCTCATGCCTGTAATCCCAACACTTTGGGAGGCCGAGGTGGGTGGATCACCTGAGGTTGGGAGTTCGAGACCAGCCTGGCCAACATGGAGAAACCCCATCTCTACTAAAAATGCAAAATTAGCTAGGTTGGTGGCCGATGCCTATAATCCCAGCTACTTGGGAGGCTGAGGCAGAATCGCTTGAACCCGGGAGTGGAGGTTGCAGTGAGCCAAGATCACACCATTGCACTCCAGCCTGGGCAACAAGAGTGAAACTTTGTCTCAAAAATAAATAAATAAAACAAAATATGTATAGAAATGGCTGGCACAGTGGCTCATGCCTGTAATCCCAAAATTTTGGGAGGCTGAGGCAGGCGGATTACTTGAGGTCAGTTAGGGACTAGTCTGGCCAACATGGTGAAACTCTGTCTTTACTAAAAATACAAAAATTAGCCAGATGTGGTGGGGGGTATCTGCAATCCCAGCTACTCATGAAACTGAGGCATGAGAATTGCTTGAACCTGGGAGGCGGAGGTTGCTGTGAGCTGATTGCACCATTGCACGCCAGCCTGGGTGACAGAGACCCTTTCTCAAAAAACAACAACAAAAGTGTATAAATGATGTGGTTAAAATGAATACTTTTTAGTCTGATCAAAAGAGGAATTACTTTTTCATCTGTTGCTATACTACATGGAAAAAAATTTTTCACACAAAACTATTTTATAAAGTAAATAACTTTTGCCACAACAAATTTCGAAGTTTGGACAAGAATATATTTTATTTTTTTCATAAAAGTTATACCAAAAATATATTTTTTCTTAACTTAAAAATACAGCTTCAGAAAGCAAAATTTGAGTTGTTGGAATTCATTACACATTTTATAGACAGCAGTGAAAGGAAGAAGTTAGTAGAATGGAATCCATTTTTAAATACAGAAATGCTCATTTCAAAAGCTTGACTTTGTCTTTTAATAACTTAAAGGTGGGGTTCTTGCTGACTTTCTTGTTAAAGATGACTAGGAGCTCCTCTTCAGATCTGTGATGCTCGTTGGTCGCTGTGTAGTACTGAGCTAAAACCTTCACAGAGAAAAGCAAACACCAAATGAGTGTATTTGACCTGGAAATTTATCTTAAAATGTTCTGTCTTTAACCCAGAAATAGAACAACAGTAAAAAATAAAAGAAACCCAGGTGCAAGCTACACAGGTGTGTTCTGCTCGTGGAAACCCAGGCAGCAGGCACGTGTGGGGGCTTGGCTGTGTGAGTCACCCTGAGACACAAAGTGAAATAAAGGAGAAGAAACCATCGCTCCGGGACAGGCAAAAGAGAGCAAACATCTAGAACAATAATTTCCAAACATAACAAAAATTAAATAAATGGAGCCTCTCTTCAAAGTCTTCGAAATAAGTTCAATATCTAGGCACCACCCTGGCTGAGGCTGTGTGAGGGCCTTTGGGGCAGCCTGATAATCACTGAGACACACACACATTTTCAGTGTTTGAGGTGAAAAAAGAAAAAACAAACAATTGTACATTTAAAAATCAGTTCTCCCCAGCTGTTATACACATGGGTTTGTTCACGTGCCATACCTTTTTCCTTAACTTTTTGATTGCTATTTCATTGTCTGGGGCCTGTTTCAAAATTGCTTTAATAGTTCCCTTCCAGTTGAATTTACCTACAAAACAAATAAGAATATGTAAGATGTTTGTTTTGCTATACTACAAGAAGGGTAAAGAAACAACTTCTGCAATGCCTGTCTGCTTCCAGGAAATGAGCTAACCCTCTAATGACCAGACTCCACAGCACCATGGAGCAATCACTGCATATGTTCAATCCCAGTGTCCTGGAAGCACTTACTAACCATCAAGGACTGGCTCTTAGAGTGAGCAGGTGCCCAAGTGCCATCGGCATGACAACCTCCTAGATGAAGAGTTGCATTTAATGAACTCAACACAGATTTCCTAAGCACCCGCTAAGATCATGCGCTGTCTATGCACAGAATGAAGATGAGCAAAAGCAGCCTGAGCTGGAATGAGAGAGAGGAAACCACCAACTGTTACAGAAGGACTGCAAACACTCATCTAGGGGACTTCCACTTCTGGGCAGATGGGGTAGACACACTTTCCCCATTCCTCCTGCCCACCACAACTGAGAACCCTGAAATTATATACACAAGAAACTTAAGATGACTCTGAAAGTTAGAGACCAGCTGGGACCTCAGGGCCTACGGAGCAACAGTGGGTGAGCTTCTTGCCGCCTGTAACCCAGATCTGGAGCTGAAGCAGCCAGCAACCTGAACACCAACGGGCACAGACGAAAAAGCCCCAACAGAAACCTGCTCTCTCTTGGCAAAGGGCCAGGAAAGGGCAGCCTAACAAGACAGAAAATTTTTATACAATAACCACCCTACCACAGCCACACATCACAGAAAAAAAGGAGGCTCCACCCCGACCCGCCCTAGCAAAAGCCGAGTGGGGAGCCCGAGCTCTCTACCCTTGGAAGACTGTAATGAGGGATGGTGTCACAGAAGGCCAACCAGGAATTCAGGGCTCTCATCCACACAGGCCAGCGATGAGGCTGCCCCTGCTGTGACGTCAGTGGAGCCTGTACTGGGAGCCCTGCCTGGCAGCAGCAAGAAGTGGCCGCTCTCAGGTGCTAATGGAGGCTGAGTGGGGAACCTGGATTTCCACCCCAACGTGGCAGCAATGAGGCCACGCCCCTCTGCAACCACCAAAGTCGTATGGGAGAAAGCCGGGAAAATAGAAAGCGTAAACAGGATCTTACACCTTATAAAAAACCTAACTCAAAATGAATCATGGACTTCAATATGAAAGGTAAGACTAGGAAGCATTTAACATAGACCTGAAATTTGCTGAAAGGGTATATCTTGAGTGTTCTCAACACACACACACATAGACACACACACACACACACACACACACACAAAGGTAAACTATGTGAGGTGACAAATGTGTTAATTAGCCTGATTGTGGTGAGTATTTCACAATGTACATGTATAATAAAACATTAAGTTCGGCTGGGCATGGTGGCTCATCCTTGTAATCCCAGCACTTTGTGAGGCTGAGTCAGAAGCATTGCTTGAGCCCAGGAGTTCAAGACCAGCCTGGGCAACACAGCAAGACCTCTGTCCTCACAAAAATGAAAAAATTCGCTGGGTGTGGTGGCGTGTGGCTGTAGCACTAACTACTCAGGAAGGCCGCTTGAGCTCAGAAGTTGAGGCTGCAGCAGCCATGCTCGCACCAATGCACTCCACCCTGGCAACAGTGAGACCCAGTCTCAAAACTAAAAATAAAATATGGCAACACATTCAGTTGTACACCTGAAATACATGAAATGTTGATTTGTAAAAAAGCTATTCAATAAGATAGTTAAAAAACAAAAACATTTTTAGACTCTAGGGCTAGGTAAAGAGTTCCTAGCACAATCCATGAAAAATAAATTGATAAATTGAACTTTATCAAAATTAAAACCATTTGTCCTAAAAAAGACTATTACGATGAAAAAACAAGGAACAGACAGAAAAAAAAAAAAAAACACAAACCCTATGTCCCACAAAGGAGTAATATTTAGAAAATATTTTTAAAAACTCTCAAATCTCAACAGTTAAAAAACAAAAAAACCCCACAAAAACAACCGAAAAACCCCCAAACAACCCAAATTACAAAATAGGGAAAAATTTTTTTTAAAGAGAACAGACAGTTCAACATAAAGATATACAGATAGCAAATATGCATACAAAAAGATGTTCAACAATATTAGCCATTAGAGATATACAGATTCAAACCACAATGAGCTGGTACCACACATCTATCAGAATGGCAAAAATACAAAACAGTGACAGCGCCTAGTATTGACTATGATGTGGAGAAATGAATCACTTACACACTGCTGGTGGGAACAGAAAATGTGTACAGCCGATGGGCACGGAGGCTCATGCCTGTAATCCCAGCACTTTGGGAGGCTGAGGTGGGCCAATCACCTGAGGTAGTGACCAGCCTGACCAACATGGAGAAACCCTGTCCTCTACTAATACAAAACTAGCTCAGCGTGGTGGCACATGCCTATAATCCCAGCTACTTGGGAGGCTGAGGCAGGAGAATCGCTTGAACCTGGAAGGCAGAGGTACAGTGAGCCAAGATCGCACCATTGCATTCCACACTGGGCAACAAGAAAAAAACTCCGTCTCAAAAAAAAAAGAAAAAAAGAAAGAAAATGTGTACAGCCATGCCTGAAAAAGTTGGCAGTTTTTTCATTTTAAATTTTTGTGAGTACACAGTAGGTATCTATGGGGTATGTGAGATATTTTGATACAGATATGCAATGTATAATACTCACATCAGAGTAAATGGGGCATCCATCACCTCCAGTATTTATCCTTTTGTGTTACAAACAACCCAATTATACTCTGCAATTATTTTTAATTGTACAATTTAATTATTGTTGACAAGAGACGCCCTGTTGTGCTATCAAATACTAGGTCTTACTCATTCTTTCTGTTTTTTGGATACCTGTTAACCACCCCACCTCGTCCCCAGCCTCCCACTACTCTTCCCAGTCTCTGGTAACCATCCGTTTACTCTCTGTCTCCATGAGTTCAATTGTTTTGATGTTTAGATCCCACAAACAAGTGAAAACATGCTATGCTTGTCTTCCTGTGCCTGGTTATTTCACTTCGTGTAATGACTTCCAGTTCCATCCATGTTGCTGCAAACGACAGGATCTCCTTTTTATGGCTGAATCCTCCATTGTGTACATGCACCACATTTTCTTTATCCATTCATCTGCTGATGGACACTTAGGTTGCTCAAATCTTGGTTATTGTGAACAGTGCAGCAGCCAGCATGGGCGTGCAGATAACTCTTCCACACAGCGATGTCCTTTCTTTTGAATACACACCCTACAGTGGGACTGCTGGATTGTATGGGAGCTCTGGTTTCAGGTTTCTGAGGAAGCTCCCAACAGTTCTCCATAGCAGCTGTACTAACTTACATTCCCACAACAGTGCACCACGTTCCTTTTTCTCCACATCCTCACCAATGTTTGTTATTGAGCTGGCAGTTTCTTTAAAAGAATATGGAACTACCGTATGACGCAGCACTGGACATCTACTTCAGAAAAACTGACTTAGTTCACTGTGCAGTTCACAGAAACCTGCACGTCAATGTTTACTGCGGCTTTATTCATTAATGACCAGAAATTAGAAACCACCCAGGTGTCCGTCAACAGGTGAATGATGAAAGAAACTGTGATGCATGCATAACACGGGCTACTCCTCACCAATCAAATGAATAGATTATTGATCAGTTCAGCAACATGGGTGAATATCCAGAGAAAATGCTGAGGAATAGTCAATCTCAAAAGGTTACATACTGTATGATTCCATTCATAGAACATTCTGGAGATTACAGAAATGAAGAACAGATTAGTGATTGCCAGAGGCTAAGGAGGGGCTGAGGGTGAGGGAAGGGGCAGTGGCTGCAGAAGGGCAGCAAGAGGCAGCCTGGCGGCGATGGAGGTGGAAAGGTATCAGTGTCAGCATCCGGGCTGAGATGCTGTACTATGGTGGTGTACAGTGCTATCTGGAGTGGCAACAAGGTAAAGGGAACGTGGATACATAAGGACACCTGAGTCTCCATTATTCCTTACAACTGCATGTGAGTTTACAAGGATCTCAAAACAAAAGATATAACAACAAAAAAAGCCATTCAGTTGTCCCCCTTTATCTGCAGGGGGACAATTCCTGGGAACTGAGTGGATGCCTGAAACCACTATGGTATTGAACCCTATATATACTCTGTCTTTTCTTATATATTCATGCACACCTATGGCAATGCTCAACTCACAAACTAGGCGCAGCAAAAGGCTAACAATAACTAATCATAAAATACAACAATTTTAACAATATACTATAATAAAATTTATGTGAATGTGGTCTCTCTCTCTAAATATCTTATTGTCCTATACTTACCCTTCTTGTGGTAAAGAAGCCACAGAGCAGGACAGCAAGAAATCTTGCCACACTGCTCAGAACAGCACACAATTGAAAACATCAATTGTTTATTTCTGGAATTTTTCATGCTACGGGTATGGGGACACTACTGTTTACAAACTTGAGAAGGGGGGTTTTCAGCTAAGAGATCTAACCCAATGCTAGTAGTCACTGAACTCTGCTAATAAAGCTGATGCCCATTTGAGTCTTTGGACCTGTTCTTAACCGCAGGAGCCCGGGGCTAGGGGAGATGGCAGAGAAATGACTTGCTACCCCTCAACAGGCACGAGTGCTTCAGGCCTGAAGAAGCAAGAGAGAAGCGTCATGTAAGAGGCAGCATTTCAGAGGGCCCGTGAAGGCCAGGGATGAGATTCTGAGGTTGGGGATGCAAACAAGGAGACCCCAGTGATAGGTCCAGAGATGGGCAAGGACAGAGCTGAGGGGACTTCTAAGAGAACAATGAAAGGCAGGAACAAGAGAGTTGGGGAGGAGGGAAAGGGAACAGGGTCTCAGAAAGCTATATTGGGTTTAAATTCCAAAGATAACATCCAGCTCCAAACCAGACTGCTTTACTTTTCTCCTAAAAGACAGCAGGTGAGAAGCACTGTAAGACTGACTCACATCCTAGAGAACTGATTTTACCTTCAAACTCTTACACATGCCTCTGGAGGGTCAGACCCTACCAGAAGTGCCTGCTTTACATTTTCCTTCCCCAGAAGAGGGCATCTCTTGGACCCTCTCCCAACCTACAAGGGACAGTGCATTTTTCCCTTTATTTCTTTGCTCTCTCCCTCGCCCTCCCTCCCTGGCCCCCTTCCTCTCTCTCTCACTTTCTCTCACTCTTTCTTTCTTTTTGAAAGTGGTATGCCCATGGCTCACTACAGCCTCAAACTCCTGAGCTCAAGTGACCCTCCTGCCCCTGCCTCCCGAGTAGCTGGGACTATCGGCAAAAGCAGCATGCCCAGCTGTGCTGTTCACACGATGGCAGTGATTTACCTTTTGCAGGAGCCTCATGGTCTTCTGGTTCTCCACCCTCAGGATGCTCTGGGAGCTTCATCTTTTTCTTCTTAGAATCTGTTTCAGCTAGGTAATTAGAAAGATTTTGTAAAAGATTTTGCATCTATGCTAGCAGCTACCATTTAATAAGACCTTATGTTAAACTAGGCACACTCCATGCATCATCTCACTTCTCCAGGCAGCCCAGCCCGGGTTTATAAAACCCCCTCCCTCCACGCTGGAGATGGAGTGAAGGCAGCTGAGTGGTGAGGTCATTTGCCTGGGCAGGGCCCAGTTCTGCCTGGCCACAAAGCTTATGCTCCTTCCCTTCCTTGGTTCAAAACACAAGGTCTAGCCAGGCACAGTGGCTCACACCTGTAATCCTGGCACTCTGGGAGGATAACGTGGGCGGATCACCTGAGGTCAGGAGTTGGAAACCAGCCTGTGAAATCCCATCTCTACTAAAAATACAAAAATTGAGGCCAGGCATGGTGGCTCATGCCTGTAATCCCAGCACTTTGGGAAGCCAAGGTGGACGGATCAGGAGTTTGAGACCAGCCTGGCCAACATGGAGAAATCCCTCTCTACTAAAACTACAAAATTAGCCAGGCGTGGTGGTGCACACCTGTAATCCCAGCTACTCAAAAGGCTGAGGCAGGAGAATTGCTTGAACCTGGGAGGTGGAGTTTGTGCTGAGCTGAGATCATGCCATATGCACTCTAGCCTGGGCAACAAGAGTGAAACTCTGTCTCAAAACAAAAACAAAAATTAGCCAGGCCTGGTGGTACACGCCTGTAATCCCAGTAATCCCAGCTACTTGGGAGGCTGAGGCAGAAGAATCACTCGAATCTGGCAGGCGAAGATTGAAGCAAGCCGAGATCACTCCACTGTACTCCAGCCTGGGCGAAAGAGTGAGCCTTCTCTCAAAAACAAACAAACAAAAAACCTGCAAGGACTAACAGGCTTAAATATCCCAAATTCACAGCTTTCAGGTTTTCAGAACAAATCCCAGGGCGTGAGCTAGCCACTTACCTTCCGAATGCCTCCGCTTCCTCTTCCCCGCACCCACGTCTGCCTGCTCCTTGCCGGCGCCGTCCTCATGCTCCGTGGCAGTGGGCCTGCCCTCGCGCTGCTGCTTCTTGTTCCTCTTCCCTGCAGAGCCGTTGGCCTCGGGGACTTCCTCCCCGCCGGCCTCAAGGTCGGCCTCCTGTCCCTTTTTACGCTTCTTAGGCTTCTGATTCCTTGAGTTTTCCTGGTGATTTTCTAATTTTAGTTCCTTCTTTTCTTTTTTCCTATTCTTCTGCCGTTCTTCCTTTCTTTCTCTTTTATTCTTCTTCACCTCCCCTTGCTGTTTCATGGCATCATTCCCTTTGGAGGGTAGAACCTTGGCGGGGATTTCTGCACGTGGATTTGCCAGCGGGTTGAGTGGCTGTTGATCCTGTTCCTTACTGACTGGTTCCTTATGATTAAGCAAAAGCAAGAAACACATAAATATTCATTTTAAATGAGTAAACAGAGTTATCATGTTATTGCCTGTGCCTACTACATGTTCAAGAAAAATGATCGGCTGAGCGTGGTGGCTCACCCCCTGTAATCCCAACACGTTGGGAGGCTGAGGCGGGCAGATCACCTGAGGCTGGGAGTTTGAGACCAGCCTGACCAACATGGAGAAATCCTGTCTCTACTGAAAATACATTAGCCGGGCGTAGTGGCGCATGCCTGTAATCCCAGCTACTCTGGAGGCTGAGGCAGGAGAATTACTTGAACTCGGGAGGTGCAGGTTGCAGTGAGCTGAGATCACACCATTGCACTGCACTCCAGCCTGGGCCACAAGAGCGAAACTCCATCTCAAAAAAAAAAAAAGGTTTCATTACTTACCGTTTTATAACTGTGACCCCTCACCAACAGCTAATGTAGCAGTAAAAATACAAAATGGGAAACAACTTCCCCCAGTCCACTGACTGCACTGAACAATTTCATTCCACTGGAAGAGTGAATAATCCTTAGGCCACAGAGATAAGACCTTTCATTCCAGCTCACTAGTCACCTTTTAAATAAGAGAAGAGTCCTTAGGTATGGGAGTACCACTGGATGTGTGTGTCTGCAGATCTGGATTTAACTTCCAGTTCTGTTCATTCCTAGTCATGTGACTAAGGGCAAATTATTTATCTGTTCCAAACCTATTTCCTCATCTGTAAAATGAAAGGTAGTAATACCAACCTTATGCATGGACGGATGAAATAAGATCCGTGATGTGCTTATTAGCACCTCAGATCAATACGGCAGCCCATTGTATGTGAAGAGTTTTGTAAATTATCAAGTATTAGAAAATGGTACTGTCACTATCATTATTTAGATTGGAAAGCTATCATTAGAAGAACAGTCACCATTCTTACCACTCTTTTTTTTTTTTTGGAGACAGAGTCTTGCTCTGTTCTGTTGCCCAGGTTGAAATGTAGTGGCACAATCTCAGCTTACCACAATCTCCACTCCCAGGCTCCAGCAACATTCCTGCCTCAGCCTCCCAATTAGCTGGGACCACAGGCGCAAGTTACCATAGCCGGCTTCTTTTTGTATTTTCTGTAGGGACGGGGGTCACCATTCTTTATGTATGAAAGTGTCTCTCTAATGGTTATCATTATTAAATACATTACCTTATTATTATTATTATTTTTTGAGACAGAGTCTCACTGTGTTGACCAGGCTGGAGTACAGTGGTACAATCTCAGCTCACCGCAACCTCCACCTCCCAGATTCAAGCGATTCTCCTGTCTCAGCCTCCTGAGTGTTACAAGTGCACACCACCATGGCCAGCTAATTTTTGTATTTTTAGTAGAGATGGGGTTTCACCATGTTGGTCAGGCTGGTCTAGAACTCCTGACCTCAAGTGATCCGCCCACCTCAGCCTCCCCAAAGTGCTGGGATTACAGGCATGAGCCACTGTGCCTAGCCATAAAATATTACTTCAACCACGGAGTGCCTGACACATCAGCCTCCCTTCTAAACAATCTAGATGAGGTTTTCAGCTAGTGCCTTGCCTCTATGTCTAAACCAACTCCTCAACCACCAGGAGGGAGAGAGAGAGGGAGGCATACCCATCTTGCAGCTGCTCAGTAAATAGGTGAAACAATTCTTCTCCTTCTTCTTTCTACCTCATTAAACACTCTCCTCAAATGTGGTCTCCTCTGTGATGCCCTCTTTCCTAACCAAGCACCTCCTTCAGCCCTGGCCTCGCAATGCCTCTGGCTTCTTCCCAGTGCTGATCAGGACCTGACATTATATCATGGACCCGTATGTGGATGTCTATCTCCTCCACTACAACATAGCTCCAAGCAGCCAGGAACTTGGCCTAATTATGGTTGCATCCATCGCGACCAGGTGAACTGTGATGAGGCAGAGGACAGAAAAGTGTCCGACCTCATACCTGGCAGTTACAGGAGGATAAACATCCAAGGTATGGAGAACAAGGCCTCAGGACCCTCTGCTCTGCCCTACAAACACTCAGGGTATGCTGGGAGGGCCATGGTGCAAAGTAGAGGTCAGGGATGGCAAGTTGTGTTTCACAGAGCTCAGGGTTTACCAGGGGCTGTTTACTCATTATTTTACTTAATGTTTAATACATTCATACTTCAAAAGGGAAACTGGAAAAAACTTTTTTAAAAAACCCTGCAGTTGAAGCAATTTCAAATCTGTGATTCTTAGTTAAAATAGAAATAACCTTAAAAAAAAAAGGTGCTACATAAAGGCCAATCTAATGCTCGGTTATAAGGTTTCAAAGGGCCAATTTGTATATTCTGAAAGAGACAAATGCTAGGTATACTACCAAGGTAAATTTACATTTTGATGCCCACTTGCTACCAAAAGTATTCTCTCTACATAAAGTGAATCAACTCCTGGTAATTTGACAAGAATGAAAGACCAGTCAGAACCCCACTGGTTTTTTGAAACTGGTATTTACACAAAAATAAACAATGTAATCAGCAATGTATATAGTCCACATTTAGGGTCTCTACTAAACCATTTTGACTAACAGGTGACTGATTTAATTCCTCAAAGGGAACTCTCCTTCCACCAGAAGGAGCTGCACGCAAACTGCTCATCTGTCTTAACTCTGTAAGGTGTGACCCCTCACCCCTTATCCAGAGGAACACCTGTCACTATGTCCTCAGGCTGTTTTATTTTCCTTCACAGCACCACTACCTGGGATACTTCAGATTTTTTGTTCGGGGCCTGGCACAGATCAGGCACTAAGCTAGTATTAAATAAATGAGTATTACTATCCACATTTTTTTAGATAAGGAAACTGAGGCTCAGAGGTGAAATAATGTGCCCAAGATCAAATGTCAGGCAAACTGCACAGTGGGGATTTGAACCAGGTCCTTCAGAAATCCAAAGCTCCTGTTCTTTCCCATGTATCGAGCTCCCTGCCCGATGACTAAGCAAATCATTACATGCTGGGCTGGCACCATTATCAAACGTTAGGATGAAATACCTTGCTCTGCATAATAAGGACATCTCTGCAGTGCATTCACTTTATTTGTTCCCATAAATGAAGGCACTAAGAGGCTCTCTAAAAAAGAAGGCTGGGCCAGGCGCAGTGGCTCATGCCTGTAATCCCAGTGCTTTGGGAGACTGAGGCGGGCAGATTGCCTGAGGTCAGGAGTTTGACACCAGCCTGCTCAACATAGTGAAACCCTGTCTCTGCTAACACACACACACACACACACACACACTTAGCCTAGCGTGATGGCTCATGCCTATAGTCCCAGCTACTTGGGAGGCTGAGACATGAGAATCGCTTGAACCTGGGAGGCGGAGGTTGCAGTGAGCTAAGACGGCACCAGTGCACTCAGCCTGGGCAACGGAGTGAGACTCCGTCTCAAAAAAATAAAAAAGAAGGCTGTCTTGACTTCCAAAAATATGAAATCCTCATTTCGTTATTACTAATTATTTTGCCACACTGCAAATCTAAAATCAGATTCGACTTACACTGCTGGAAGCCTCAGAAAAGATATTCCACACCTGCTCCAGAATGGATTCATTATGAACTTTTAAACTGTTCTTCATCCAGTTCTGTAAGAAACAAAAAGAAAAAGAACTATTGATCCCACTTGGACACGTACACACATGCTCAGTCACTGATGGGCCACACAGCCCCCTCCATTCAAGAAAGTCAATTCATACCTGAAATTTTGCCTTTTTCCTGGGAACGTTGTCAAAAGCACTGATTTGCTCTAAAAGTTCTCGCACTTTGGGGCTGACGTTAGGTCTCTTTATTAATTCATTAATTTTCTACAGAAAAGGAAGAAAAAAGAAAAACAATAAACAACCAACATGAGTTTCATGAAAGCCAATAAAAAAAGTCCTTGCCATGGCTGAAGGGTTTACATTTTCAGCCCAGATTCTGTATTTATGACTATGCTTAAAAATATATAGATTAACTTCTATTAACATAGTACTGGAGTCCTAGCCAGACCAGTTTGGCAAGAAAACAAAATAAAAGGCATCCTAATTGCAAAGGATGAAGTAAAATTATCTCTGTTCACGAATGATGTGCTCTTATATGTCAAAAATCCTAACGGGTTCACACAAAAATTGTTAGAATAAACAAATCCAGCAAAGTTGCAGGATACAAAATCCACATTCAAAAATCAAGCTGCATTTTATATAACAAAAAGAAACATCCAGAAAGAGAAATTAAGAAAACAATTCCACTTGCAACAGCATCAAAAAGAATAATCAGAATAAACTTAACCAAAGAGGCAAAAGACTTATTTACTGAAAACCAAACAACACTGCTGAAAGAAATTAAAGCAGACATAAATAAATGAAAAACATTCCATATTCATGGATTGGAAGACTTAAAGTTGTTAAGATGTTAATACTAACCAAGCAATCTACAGATTCAACGCAATTCCTATCCAAATCCAATATGTGTATATACACATTTTTGCAGAAATAGAAAAATCCATCCTAAAACTCACATGGTATCTCAACAGATACCAAATAGCCAAAACAATCTTGAAAAGAAGAACAAAAATGTGGATCTCATATTTTCTCATTTCAAAACTTATTACAAAGCTACAGTAATCAAAGCAGTGTGGTATGGGCATAAACAGACATAAAACCAGCAGAATAGAGAGCCCCGAAATAAACTCTCTCATATATGGTCAAATGACTTTCAACAAGACTATTTAATGGGGGGAAAACCAAGACCATTTCAACAAGTGGTGGTAAGAAAAGTAGATTATCCACATGCAGAAGAATGAAGCTGGACCCTGACCTAACATCATACACAAAAGCTAACTCAAAATGGATTAAAGAACTAAACTTAAGAGGTAAAACTATAAACTCTAAGAAAAGAAGCATAGTGGAAAAGCTTCACAACACTGGACTAGACAATAACTTATTGGCTATTATGACAAAAGCATAGGCAACAAAACAAAAAAAATGAATTGACTACATTGAAATAAAAAACTTATATGCATCAAAGAACACTATCAACAGAGTGAAAAGGCAACCTATGGAATGGGAGAAAATATCTGAAAATCATATCTGATAAGGGGTTAATATCTAAAGTACTGGCCAGGTATGGTGGCTTGAGGACAGGAGTTTGAGACCAACCTGGGCAACAAAGCAAGACCCCATCTCTACAAATGAAATAAATAAATCCATATATAAAACATATAAAGAATTCCTACAACTCAACAACAAAACCTAATTTTGAAATGGGCAGAGGACCTGAATAGACATTTCTCCAAAGAAGATACACAAATAGCCAATAAACACATGAAAAGATGCTGGAAATACAAACCAAAACCATAATGAGATATCAGTTTGTACCCAATAGCATGGCTATTATCTAAAATAAAACAGAAAATAAGCCTTGTGGGCAAGGCTGTGAAGAAGCTGAACCCCTTGTCCACTGCTGGTGAGAATGTAAAATGCTACAGCTGCTCCAGAAAGAGTACGGAGGTCCCTCTACAAATTAAAAACAGAGTTACCAGTAATCCTACTGCTGGGTAAATATACACACCATAGGAAATTCTTCATCCATAAAAGGGACATTGTGACACACGGCTGAACCTTGACGATATTATGTGAAGGTAAACAAATCAGTCACAAAAGGACAAACATTGAATAATTTCACTTACATGGAGTACCTAGAGCTGCTAAATTCACAGAGACAGAAAGTAGAATGGTATTTGCCAGGGGCTGGGGCGGGAGGAATGGGGAGTTAGTGTTTATTGGGGATAGAGCTTCAGTTTGGGAAGATAAAAAAATTCTGGAATGGATGGTAGTGATGGTTGCAGAACAATATGAATGTGTTAACTGTACATGTTTAAATGGTTATATCATGTGTATTTTACCACAGGAAAAAAAACCAAAATAAACTGAATGTGATAAAAAAAAAAATGGGTATTAGAGGGACTAGGTTATAGTCAAGACAATAAGCATTAAGATCTAATAAAATCTGGGCTGGGCATGGTGGCTCACACCTATAATCCCAGCACTTTGGGAGGCCAAGGCAAGTAGATCACTTGAGGTCAGGAGTTTGAGACCAGCCTGGCCAACATGGTGAAACCCCGTCTCTACAAACAATATAAAAATTAGCCAGGTGTGGTGGTGGGTGCCTGTAGTCCCAGCTACTCGGGAGGCTGAGGCAGAACTCTTTGAGCCCAGGAGGTGGAGTTTGCAGCAGTGAGCCAAGGTCGTGCCACTGCACTCCAGCCTGGATGACAGAGCAATACTCCATCTCAAAAAAAAATAAAAAATAAAAAATCTAATCTGAAATTGCAAGAACAGAAGAGAGAAAAATAGTGACCTAGGAATTTCAATTTTCTGTGTTTGGCAATCTCAGTGAAGGAAGAGGAAAAATAATTATTAAAGTTAGAGATGACAGTAGACGTGAAAGATGGTCACCAACCAGGAAACAAGGATCAGTGCTAGAGCTAAACAAATAAAATGCAGAAAAATGTCCCTGCAGTAGGAAAGAAGTGAATCTATACATAAACAGACTAGAAACAAACCGGATACTAAGACAAGGATAAGGCAAAGCTGTTTCAGGCACGCAGGTAGAAAAACAAAAATCAAGAAAACAAGACAAACAGGAACATAGAAAAACGAGGCTGGCTTAGCACTCACTGGAACAGCCAGCCCTTCAGAAGAGAACAGGGCAGCAGAGACACAGGTTAGAGAAAAACAGTGTAACCCATTTAAGAGTGATGTTCTCCTGGTTCATCTACCCGCAGTCTGCCTGTAAGCCCAGAGACATCTGGAAGGATCTGGAAGGATGCTCAGCACACATTCACACTGCTTGTTTCTGGCTGGTTGATTTGGGGATCATGTATTGCTTTCTTCTCTGTACTTCTTCTGTATTACTGGAGTTATTTTTATTAAGTGGTTAACATCCACCTATTTTGTATTAAAATGATAAGGCTAAAAAAAATCAGTGGCTCTTGCCTGTAATCCCAGCACTTTGGGAGGCTGAGGCATGAGGATTGTTTGAGACCAGCCTGGGCAACACAGTGAGACCCCATCTCTACAAAACATTTAAAAATGTAGGTAGGCGTGGTGGCATGCGCCTGTAGTACTACACCTACTTGGGAGGCTGAGGCAGGATTGCTTCAGCTGAGGAGGTCGAGGCTGCAGTAAGCTGTGACTGCACCACTGTATTCTAATCTGGGCAAGAGAAAAAGGCCCTGTCTCAAAAAAAAAAATTAAATTAATAAAAACAGGAAAAAACAGGAGAGCAGCAGAGCACAGTGTCAGAGATAAAAATGGGTGCAGTCTGAGAGCAGCCAGCCCCAAGTATAGAACATGGCAGATGGGGTTGGATCCAGGCAACTCGAAAGTAACAACTTTTTAGAATTGTGAGAAATGCCAGAAGTGAGATGTCAGACGAAAGACAAAAAGGTCAAGTTGCAGATGAAAGAAGAAAGGGTTCCTCCAAGGACCAACATTCTGAGCCCTTTATAATATGAATGACTTCCAAACACCCAATCTACTAATAAAAAGCTTTCAGAGAACAGGGATTCCTCCTGACTAGGTTCCTTAATTCTGTTTTTCAAATGTGGGGTTTAATGATTTAAGGAAAAGAACAAAACCCCCACACTGGGCCAGCTGATTCCCCCGCAGACCACACTTACTCTTCTCCATCTGTGAACAATGGCAATGAGGGAGTCAGGGAGGAGTCAGATGGGAGAAACCAGGAGACCATGAAGGAAGCAGAAGTGAGTTCTGGAGAGGGCTGCTGAAGCCTGACAGTTTAGACCAAGCGTCAGCAAGCCTTATCTGTAAAGTGCCAGACAGTGAGTATTTAGGCTTTGCAGGTTTCTGTCACACTACTCAATGCCCCACCCATTATGGCATTGAGTATTAAAGCAGCCAATGACCACAGATAAACAAATGGGCATGGCTGTGTTCCAGTAAAACTTCATTACAAAGAGGCGGCAAGCCACCTGCGTCCTATATAGTTTGCTGACTGACCCCTGCTTTAGAGGATTTCACTGAGTGAAAACAGCAGATGGAACTCACAGACCCATGTATCTCAACCTCAGGGCCTAGGAATGTCATTTGGTTTTTAGAGAATTACAGAGAGTGCCCAAAAGTATGGCTGCTGGTCACCAGCGCAAACATCTTAGTTAAGATAAAGGATTTCACTGGCTTTTCAATCTGCTCTGGGCCGACTTTTTAAGTCCTTTGTGAACAGAAATGCCTTCCTAGTATTATGCTGATTCAGTAGGCTAGAAATTCACATTTCAACTCTATTATCAAATGGAGTGATTACTTTTTATTGGATTTTAGAAAAACAGAATTTTCCCATAGGTGACATCTGTCTTTTCATTCTCCTACCTTCCTTTCTGAATCCTTCCTCCTGCTACCTATTCTGTAAATGATCAGTAGCATTTTGAGAGTTATGCTTCCCAGTGAAATGAGGGTGTCAAGGCTTCTGCCGTTTCTATTGTGCATGTTCTCATGCTATTCTAGTTAAGTAGAAAATTTTTTACATTGATCAAAGTGTCTTTATTTTGCCCAATTCTAATGACTGGCAGACATGACAGATTAATATGGCTTGAGTCAGAAAAGCTGCATTATCACTAGAAGCAGGGAAAGATTAGAAGGTTTCCATTCAGTTTTGCAGCCAAGGGAAAGCTAATGAGAATTCTAAAATATTTTTTTCAAGAAATTAACAAAACACATGCATTAAAGGTATAATGCACCACAATTGTTTAAACAGCTAGAAGAATAAAGAACTCTTTTTCTTTCTTTTTTTGGAGACAGTCTCACTCTGTCACTGGTGCTGGAATGCAGTGGTGCGATCTTGGCTCACTGCAATCTGCACCTCCTGGGTTCAAGCACTTCTCCTGCCTCAGCCTTCTGAGTAGCTGGGACTACAGGTGCCCACTACTCTGCCCAGCTAATTTTTTGTATTTTTAGTAGAGATAGGGTTTTGCCATGTTGGCCAGGCTGGTCTCGAATTCCCAACCTCGTGATTTGCCCACCTTGGCCTCCCAAAGTGCTGAGATTACAGGTGTGAGCCCCTGTGCCCAGCCAAAGAACTCTGTTTCAAGAAGTTTTAGTTCAACCTCAGTCTATCCTAGGACATAAGGTTTCCAGGGCTTGTCTGCAGGATGACACATATATTCTTAGTCTCTTGGGCTTCCAAAGAAAGTGGAAGGTGTTAGAGGAGGATACTCAATAAATTAGAAAAACATTACCTGAATCCATGCCTGTTGTTTAATGTCGCCTTTGTGGGTTTTACCTTCATAGCCTTTGCCACCATACTTCTGATCTTCACTTATGCATTTCACGTGGTTTTTATAGTCATCACCCCTTTAAAGTGATCAAAGGTTCTCCCATTAGACTGACACCAAGTTGGAGGCGCTAATACCAGCACGCTGCTACTTCCCTCTGTATGTCTTCACATCTGTCTACCACACAAGCACCCCGTCTATTTCACTTATGTTGAAAACCTCCTGGTCAGAACCACATCCTGCTTCCTCCAAAGTCTTCAATATCAAACCCATCACCCAATGTTTCCCCCATTTCTATAAACACTTTACAATAAATTGATAGGCAGTATTTTTTTACTCATAAATGCATATATACTGAATAAACACCAAAATAACTATGCAATAGGGTAGTCTTCTTAAATTATAAAAATTATCAATGACTTTCTGGTCTATTATTAATGACTTTCTGGTAATAGACAGGTATAAAATAAACAGGCATAAAACGGCAGTACGAGATTTCCAACAGTTCTAGATACCTTAGGGTCCTGGAAAAACTCAATTTTGTCTCATAATCTTTGTAAAGCTCTGTGGGGTTCTTCAGGGAAATGTTGGGGACAAGGTCCAGGGCAAAGTCCCCTAATGAAAAGTAAATTTTAACCTACTTTATATATCTAGCTTCCTCCTAGGATTAAGTCTGAACAGAGGTTAGCAGTTTCTAAAAAATCACTGCTCTACAGTGAATTAAGAGACTCTTAACCAATACCACCTAAATGCCTGAGAGGACACTGGGGCAGATGCTGCCACAAGCCAGCTTCTCGCCTGGACGTTCTGCGGCCAAAAGGGAATCAACATGAAATTCAAGAGGGCGGCTCTCTGCAAACGACCCACCTTAAGAAATGGCATCTAAGGCGGGATCTGTCTTGCCCCTCCCCGCTAACTCCTCACCTTCACAGAGGCCTCCTCAGTGGAAGTGTCTCTTGACACACTCGGGGGGCCAGGAAGAGCCTCACTTCCACCAGCAGCTCTGATTTTCCAGGGAGGACATAATTTCCTCTGCTATCAGTCATCTCCCCCACTGTGAGCTCATAAATTCACTTTCTGGTTCATAAGTCCATCTCTTCACTGCGATGGGCACACGATACCCATGGTCTAACAAAACCAGCTCTAACCTAGAGCCATCTTCCATGTGTTGCTTCCCTGGGTCTGGTAAGAGCGGCAATGTAATAGCAACCAGTGTCACCAACTGAATGCTCTAATCATAATTCCCCTTCCCCTAGTCTTCTCTTTAACACATCCTCAAAAAGCAAATGTCTAGTAAGGCACATTTTATTTCCCCCCTGAGATGGAGTCTTGCTCTGTCTCCCAGGCTGGAATGCAGTGGTGCAATTTCAGCTCACTGCAACCTCTGCCTCCCGGGTTCAAGCAATTCTCCTGCCTCAGCCTCCTGAGTAGCTGGGATTACAGGTGCACCCCACCATGCCAGGCTAATTTTTGTATTTTTTAGTACAGATGGAATTTCACCATGTTGGCCAGGCTGGTCTCGAACTCTTGACCTCGTGATCTGCCTGCCTAGGCCTCCCAAAGTGTTGGGATTACAGGCATGAGCCACTGCACCCAGCCTAGTAAAGCACATTGTAAAGAATCACATGAGTTTTAATCAATGGACCATACCAGTTTTTATTCTTGATTTATTTCCTCAAATTTGCCACTATTTTTCCAAGCTTTGTCGTGCCAAGGCTTCCAAAACTGGTCTGGATTTACTATGGATCTACATGAATTCTGTGAAGCTTACCAGAAATCTTTACCACAGTCAATGCAAGAAAGGCATTCACAGTTTCTGCAAACAGACACATGCTTTTCCACTTGGATTTTCTTCACTGATTCACCACATGCATTGCATGTAAAAAATACCATTTTAGGTAAATGGCTAAATATTCGCTATCCAACACAGGTTTTAGGTCTTGTCCTAAAAAAAAAGATAATTATCATTATAAACTGAAGCTTCTCATTTCAATAAATGGCTCATGCAGCTAACTTTTCAACCATAATTTTACGTGAAAATAACAGTCAAAGTTGATTAGCAATCTACATAAAACTCCACCATTCATATAAATAAAACTAACATTAACAGTGACAATGGCTAACATTTATTGTGTCCTTATCATGTGCCAGGCACTATTCCAGGGGCTTTACATGTATTCACTTATTAAATCCCCACAGCAACCCTATGAGGGAGGGACTATCATTGTTCAGAATTTATAGGAGGTAACTGAAATGCAGAGATTATGTAACTTGCCCAAGGATGTACGGTTAGCAGAACCAGGATTTAAACCTGGCAGATTGGCTCTCGAGATGATGAGCTTTGAGGGTGTTAAATCTTACTTTCCCTAGTATCTTGAACTCTCTCAATTATATAAACTTATAGAACGCACTGCAATTTAGGTGTTCACTACAAACTATTTCAGGTCCTCAAACAGACTAAGAACACAGCAACAGGAAAACTGAGTGAAGTTTAGAAAGTGAAGAAGAGGCAATTTTATGGACATAATTGCTATGGCACTAACAGCATTCATATCAATATTACTGTATGTTTACAGATGTTAAAATAAGGACATGTGCCTCAGCTGTAATGGGCAGGGGCCTCTTGCATGTGGCAGCTTGTCAGACAAGTCAGAAAGAGATGGAACCACATCCAGGTGTCCCAACTGCTAGATGCTGAATTACCAGAGGAGTTCATGAACCCTGGGGTGCTGAACACTGCTCCAGCATGAAGTATGTCTGTACACGTACATAAACATCATTTTAAAATTTCACAGAAATGCTACTGTGCTCAAGGAAACACACATTCATCTAAAAGTGTTAGAGAAGTCACAGTAATTTTCCATAATTACATAATGTTTTAATCACTAGATTTTAAAACAGCATTGTTTTACATTATAAGTTTCACAGCAAAAATACTGAGAACTGTTTAACCCAGCGCTTTCTTTCTCATTATGAAAATAAAGGTGAGTATCAGGTAAACCGATGTAATTTACTTCAGGGTAGGACTTCATCCAACGATCTCTCAGATCCACCCTTGTTTTGCAGAGCATTCTCATGCATGAAAACACCGTCACTCCTCCACCAACATGTTCTGGATCACTGCTGGTAAGGTCATACCCAAGCAATGACCAGGGTTATTCATGTCCATTCACCCTTGAATGGAAATGTACATCCTGGCTGCATCTCTAGGGTTTACAGAGGCCCAGCCGGTCTCTTGTGGAGTTGCCCTGTGGGACACTATCAGACACCAGCTCAGCTTCTATGCTACACACAAACCACAGACCCCTGACCCTGGGTCCCAGGCCCCACTCCTCTGCTCACTATTAGTGTTCGCTAGTAAGCAGGGGGCATGCGGTCAGCTACAACGTAGCACCAAATCCTCAGGAAAGAAAACACGACTACCCTGGATGTGCTGCGGCAACTGTCATCTTCTCATCTGGTTACTGTAAAGATGTGTGATACTGCCGGGCTCCTGGGAGCTGGAACCACATTTCCCATGAGCCAGCTCCCTCAAAGCTTACCATCTAAAAAAGGCCAAGGATGTTCCACATGCCAGGCAACAAGAGCCGCTATCCTGCCTGACAAGGGAGAACAAAGGCTGAACAAGAGCCAACACCGCATTCTCAAAGAGCCTGGAGGTGTACTTTGGTGTAAGAGCAGGAATAACTTATTAATGTTACCAAGAAACAGATTCTCATCACGGGCACAAGGTGAAAGCAGCTGTGATATGCCAAATTATCTGCTGAAAAACTTTAAAGTACCTTCCTAGTAAAATACAACAACAAAAAACAGTCCCTGAACTTAGATATGGCTTAGAGCTTGCCAACCTCTGTTGCCAAGGACAATTCTATCTCTTGATGGAGAGGGAGATGGGAGAAAGCAAGCTTTCAACAAGCCTTAAGATTCATTTGGGAGATTCCTGTCCTGGCAGGCCAGGAATTAAAGGCCTAGGAAGGAAGAAGAAACAAAATATACTGATTGAAAGAAGCAGTGATGTTGACAAAAAGATACTCAAGAGTATCTGTGCAAAACATTCGAGCTCCCTAGAGATTAGCCACATGCTACAGTGTAATTAATATCAATTGGGAAGATGATTAGAATCTGTAGCTCCCCCATCATTTTCATTTGGTCTTTGTTTAAGGCAGAATGGATGGATTGCACACTAAGTCAGAACTCTGTCTCTTCCTGCCTTCCTCTGGATTTTACACATGCCATGAAACGGGAACAGCAGTGTCCACTTGCTTGGCTAATGAGCTAAGGTCTGTAAGGAGCTTACCTCCCCCCTTATTCAGAGCCTGGAGGACAGCCCAGTAGCTGGCCAAGAGTCACCTTGATTACACCTCAAACCCAACCTAGCCCCAGGGAAAAATATCTGTAATTTATGCCATAAACACTTGCTAGAGCTTCAAAGAAAAGCTCAAAACCATCAAAACCTTCAAAGTCAGCATAACTGCACAGCAGGCTTAATATTCGTAAGTGTAAATGCTACAAACTTACAAAAAGCCGTCATGTGGAAATTCAGTCCTTCTAATGGAAGACAGCAAACATTGCCTAAAACAGTAAAGTAAAATGGTATTATTCAAATTCCACAAGACTAGGTAAGCATAAAGGAAATTTAATTAAACTTTCAAATGACGCCTTTGGCAAGTATGCAGCATTTATGCTTCTGAAATTATGAAAGCTTAAAACTGCATTGAGACTTTGAAGACACCCTGTCTGCCAGGCTCAGACGTGACAGATTTCAACGTTTAGCCCTAAGTGGAAAAAGACAGCAGTTTTTTATGGGGCTGGATCTAAACAGAGTCCTCTTTTCCTTCCCTGGCTCCTCAACTTCCTATGCCCAATGTCCAGTTCCAGTGCAGCCACAGAGATTCTATACGCTTTCCTTCTACCCATGTGGGCATGTTAAAAGAGAAAAGCAAGCAGAAGGTGGTGTTCTTGGACTGGCTGAGAGCATACTTCCGTTTTCGCCCCTGGTAAGTCACTTTAACTCAGTTCAGCAGACATTTCCTGAATGCTGGCGCTAGGCTATCCACCGCAGCATAGCCTGGGGCCCTCACTCAGTGACTTCTGGCTGCCTCCTCGTCTGCCTGTATGGTCAGTTTACTGAGCTCTCATCACAGCCATACCCACGAAAAAGATGACGGGGTCTGCACAATAGAACACATGATCACGAGCTCTCTACAAAGCCATGTCCCATTTATGTCCGCCAGGACTGCTATGATCATACTACCACCATCCGGAGGGAAAACCCAAGGCGCAGGAGGGTAAGTGAACTGCCCAAAGTCACAGTAAGTGGGACAGGTAGCCTGAAAGACCAGGCAACAAGCCCAGGTTCCCATCCTGCCTCCATCTTGACCTGCCATGTCCTGACCATTTGCTTGGCTTTTACTCAGCATCTGAGACCTTGAGGTCCTCATCCAAACAGAAAAAAAAATTAAAGCCTCCACAAGATGACTTTCCATGTATAAATATTAGAACCCTGGCCGGGCGCGGTGGCTCAAGCCTGTAATCCCAGCACTTTGGGAGGCCGAGGCGGGTGGATCACGAGGTCAAGAGATCGAGACCATCCTGGTCAACATGGTGAAACCCCGTCTCTACTAAAAATACAAAAACATTAGCTGGGCATGGTGGTGCGTGCCTGTAATCCCAGCTACTCAGGAGGCTGAGGCAGGAGAATTGCCTGAACCCAGGAGGCAGAGGTTGCAGTGAGCCGAGATCACGCCATTGCACTCCAGCATGGGTAACAAGAGTGAAACTCCGTCTCAAAAAAAAAAAAAAAAAAAAAAAAAAACCCTAAGCCTTAATTATAAAGCCTGTGCACAGTGGGCAAGGAGACCACCCATGTCACAGGGGAAGCTGCTGTCAGGTGGGCAGCAAAGCTCGTTGAGTGACAGCAGCCAGTGGTCAGTAAGGGGCTGGGAACTTGATAGGTTTCTCTTAACAAGATGGTTGCCAGGTTTTGTTGGACCGGGCCCTGAATTGGGTAGAGGATCTGCTAATGCCAAAAAAGTCATTAAAAACTAAATGACCTCAAGGCATCTTAACCTCCAAGAATCTGCTTATCTATAAAATGGATCTAATACCTAACTCAAAGCATTGGGTGGAAAGTTTTAAGACACCAGACTGCCCAACTGTAGAAAGGTTTCTGTGACCTACTAATTTGCACATCAATGCCATTACACCCAGCCCTCGCCCAAGCCCCTGCTCCATTAAATATGACCATCAACCCACCCATTTATCTTTATAAATTCACTCGAACCTTCTCTGGCTCCTCACCCCATGGGTGCCTACTCCACCACTATGTGCCCTGATAACATGCCCTTAGGTTTGGTTCTGGGATTGGAATGATTTTTTTTTTACCTTCCTCCCTCTATATTTTTGTATTATTTATTAAATTTTTTCACAAAAACAATATTGACTATCTTTTTCTTTTTTTTTTTTGAGACAGAGTCTTGCTCTTTCGCCAAGGCTGGAGTGAAGCGGTGCAATTTCAGCTCACTGTAAACTCTGCCTCCCAGGTTCAAGCGATTCTCCTGCCTCAGCCTCCTGAGTAGCTGGGACTACAGATGCGCACCAACCCATGTCTGGCTAATTTTTGTATTTTAGTTTAGAGACGGGGTTTCACCACATTGGCCAGGCTGGTGGCGAACTCCTGACCTCAGATGATCCACCTGTCTCGGCCTCCCAAAGTGTTGGGATTACAGGAGTGAACCACAGTGGCTGGCAGACTATTTTTTTTTTTTTTTTTTTTTTTTTTTTGAGACCGAGTTTCGCTCTTGTTACCCAGGCTGGAGTGCAATGGCGCAATCTCCGCTCACCACAACCTCCGCCTCCTGGGTTCAGGCAATTCTCCTGCTTCAGCCTCCTGAGTAGCTGGGATTACAGGCACGCGCCACCATGCCCAGCTAATTTTTTGTATTTTTAGTAGAGACGGGGTTTCACCATGTTGACCAGGATGGTCTCCATCTCTTGACCTTTTGATCCACCCGCCTCAGCCTCCCAAAGTGCTGGGATTACAGGCAACTATTCTTAAAATATCCTTTCATACACAGACAGACACTGACCTGAACACCATTACCATCACTACCACTGAAACAGCCCACGTAAGGGGTCTGGCTGGCAACCCCAGGACATCCCCCACTGAGCACTGTGACCCAGAACATGCCACTGCCCCTTTAAACTTCAAGTTCTCTCATCTGTGAAACAAGAAGTCAGGCCAACCAGACAACACTCAAGCCCCCTTCCATGGGTAGCATTCTGAGAAACCACGGGTATGGTGCGGGAGAAGCACAAACAAACATACTCTGTCACACCATCCTGCCTAATCCTTTACATGTGGGGCTGACAAGGGTTACAACGGGGGACATTCACAAGGAGAGGACCTCTCCCTTGTTCCTTGCAAAAGCCCTAGGAAGTAGGTGCACCCACCTCCACTAAACAGATAAACTGAGGCTTACAGAAGCCATGTCTCTCTGCCTCCCACCCCGCCCAGTACATCACCAGCACTGTTTTAAACACCATCCCTTCGGTCGAGTAACTATCATGTGTCAGGCACTATGCTAGACCCTGGGAGCCTGGGGCACAGTGTGAATAAGTCCCAAGTTGGCCCCGTCTGCAGGAAAGTCAGGTTGCAAATACACACCCACCTCATTCCCCTCCCTCTCTCCTCAGAGGGGGGTGCTGCAGAGAATCCTAACATTTATGGAGCACCCAAGCCCTCTCATAGGAGGTTAACACATTTCTACTCATATAATCCTCATCACAGTCCTCCGAGTTAGGTTCTATATGTTATGACAGATGAGGAAACTGAGGCGCAAAGTTGTTAAAAAACTTACACCAGGTCATCACACATCCAGGTGGTGGCGACCCAGATTCACACGCAGTTATTCCGGCCCTAAGTCCGTTCTCTGGTCCTCTACATCCTAAGGCTTCCTCCTTAGGGACTGAGCTCCCAACACTCAAGAGAAGAGCCCTGTCCCCAACATGCAGCAAACCTGAAGCCCAGTCGGATGGTGACCAACCGTCCGGGTTTGGCCAGGCCCGAGGGGGTTCCCAGGACGCGGGAGTTTCAGTTTTAAAACTAAAACAAGTTGTTGACCCTAAGTCCAGGACTCCTGCCACCTCCCCAGAGCACGAATAAAACCTGAATGGAAATCCTTCCTCCATGCGTAAGCTAGAGGAGCTGCCAGTGGAAACGCCGGCATCGGCCACCCGGTCCCTCCCCTACTCACTCTCTGAGACCCAGCCATCTAGGTCGGACCTCTGGGCCACCACCCCTCACCTCTCAGCCAGCGCCCGCCAACGGTTTCAACCGGCCGCAACGAGCACGTGGAATTGCCACCGCCCGCCCAGCGCCGCAACTACCGGCCTCTCAGGCTTCGCGGCGCAGAATTCACTCCGGAGCTATCCAGCGCGTCTGCGCACCGGGGCCACACAGCACCCCACCCGGCGGAAGTGACGCCAACGGAAGCCGGAGGGCGGTGCCGACAGCCAAGGGGGTGTGGTCGGGATGGTTCCGCGGCCGGCGGAGCCCGGCGAGCGGGCCTGAGGACAGCGGCGGCAGGTGTAGAGTAGGCGGCGGGGCAGAGAGCGGCCTCCGAGGGTAAGGTGGCCGGCCTCGCGAAGGCATGCGGGGCTGGCGAGGGTGGGAACGGCCGGAAGGGAAGGGAGGCCGAGCGTCCGAGGGTGGCGCAGCAGGGCATGGACCCGCCGCTCCCTCCGCGTCCCAGGGCACTCGAGGATACCGGGGAGCTGGCGGCCCCTGCGAGAGTCAGCGGGCATCTGCTCTGTGCCGGGCATCGCAGGGGACGCGGACTGAGACCCAGAAGGCCAGGTTCCGGACCTAGGAGCCGGGCCTTCTCCCTCGTGTAGCTCCCTCGGCCTGGGCACCCCACCCGCGTCCTCTCATCTCCAGGCTTTGCCCGCAGGAAGCCAGCCCCGCCCGCCTCCGCCCCGCGCTGCCCATCTCTCGGTTCCTGTTACCTTCCACCCTGTAGTTTAGTGCTTAAGACGACAGAGCCCACAGCCTGGCTCAGTCTCATTACGGTGTGGCCTCTCTGTGCCTCAGCACGGCATCCGTAAAGCGGGTATCATAGCGGCACTTGCGTCGCTGGAACCTTGTCTGATTTCATGAGTTGTGCATGTAAATCGCTTAGAGTAGTGGCTGCCACCTAGTAAATGCTCAATACACGTTAGCTGTTCTCAGCCCTTAAGACAGGGTCTGGCATACGGTGGTGGTCACTAGGCGTTTGTTGTTTAAAGGAATGAATGAAAATTGAATGGAGGATGCACAGAGTATTGTGAGAAACCTTAACTCCAAGGTGTGTGTATGTGGGTGATAAGGAAGGTTTCACTCTGGAAATGAGCAGTGTTGGGCCTGGAATAGAAAGCGTATTCGTTTCCTAGGGCTGCAAACAAAATGCCGGGTGGCTTAAACATCAGAAATTTATTTTCTCACAGTTCTGGAGGTTAGACGTCCAAGATCAAGGTGTCATCAGGTTTGGTTTCTTCTGAGACATTTCTCCTTGGATTGCGGGTGGCCACTTTCTTGCTGTGTCATCACTGGTGTTTCCTCTGTGTTCCCCATCTCTGGTGTCTCTCTTTGTATCCAGATTTCCTCTCTTCATAAGAACATCAGTCAGGTTGTATTAGGGCCTACCTTAATGGCCTCATTGTAACTTAATTACCCCTTTACAAGCCTGATCTCCAAATACAGACACATTCTGTGGTTCTGGGGGAACACAGTTTACCCATAACGAAAGGAATTCACAAGAATGGACAAGGAGGGATATATTTTCCAACAGAAGTGACAGAATGGACAAGAGGCTTAAAAGCAGGGTGCTCAAGGTGTTTTTTTGTGTTCAGGGCACATATGTGCACTTCAGTCTTGTTTGTGCTCGCCTGCTTTTTTTTTTTGTTTGTTTGTTTCCATTTTATCCCCCTGAAAACTCAAAGGGGGAGAGCCCTCTCATTTTTTGTCTGGCAAACTTAACTCATGTTTCAGCCTAGATGTGTCTTCCAGGAAGTTTTCCGTGACCCTTCCTCCCAAATTAATTTCTGCTTCCTCCATTTAATAACTCTGGTACACTGTGACAATTGTTTTTCCCACTAGACTGATGCTTCATGAAGACATGGATGACCATGCCTGATGTGTTTGCCATTTTACCTTCAGTGCCTAGAATATAATGGGCCCTCTGTAAAGTTAGGTGAATGATGGAAAACTGAGGCACAGGCAGGGAACCATTTGTCAGCATTCGGTCCTCTTGATAATCTGTTGTACATATTAGGCACAGAATATCTGTTTAACTGAATTGGCCTTCCCCAGTATAAAGCTAAGACAAGACTCCAAATTTGTTTGCTTCAAGACAGTGCTTTTCTGAGTTGGGTGGAGGTGAGGGTCTATGAGTAAGCCTTTTGGAAAGTTTGATGATGGGCAGACTCCTTAGGGGCCCTCTAAGGTAAGCTTGGTAATAAGGTGTGTGAACTGTGGGCCCTTGGAGAAGTAATCTATTAATGGCTCAGCTGAGAAAACATCCACAAATTTTATCTAGTAGTATTTGATCTGTTGATAGAATTGAGGGGCCTCTGCTCTAGGAGTCTTCTCTGCAGGTTGAAACTCCATTCTGGCTCGTTTCCTTTAGAGGCATTTCTTCATTCACATTGATGTAAGCCTTTTCTTGTTTCTTTTCCCCCCATATTTTTGTTGTTTGATGCCATTCATACCACCTTTCCACCAAAACATTCCTTGTACAGATTTGTAGCTTTTAGAACAAGAAGAAACCATAGAGCTCATCTAGTCCAGTGGGGGACTCCTCCATTGTTATGGATGAAAAACAGGCCCAGAGTCTGATCCATCCAGAAATATGTATTGAGTGCCTACTATGTCAAAGACACTCTGCTAAGTACCAGAGATACATTGTTCAGTAAGACAGACGGAGTCCATGTCTTCACCACAGACAGTCTTTGCTGCTTGTCACCAGGTGAGTTAGCTGCAAAGATGGAAGAGAACCCTGTGCTCCTTCTGTCACACTACAACACCTTGTGTAGCACACGTTAGTCCTGAATTGTGCAGTCCCTTAATGCAGTGCTTGTCTGTGGGATTACCTGGACAGTCAGGCTTAGGCAGTAGACTGAAGATGCAACTGATTCCAGTCAAAGGAAACAGTGGTTATGAGTGTGGCTTTGGTGTCAGATTCCTTGGCTTTGAATCCCACCTCTGTCCCTTATTGCTTACCTATTACTTTTTAGCTGTGTGACCATCTTCTCTATACATGGTCAGGTTTTCTATTGCTGTGTAACACACTATCCTCAAATTTAGTGACTTAAAAACTATTTTATCTCATAATTCTGTGGGGTAGGAATTCAGGCGAGTGTCACCTGGGAAATTCTTTAATTCTATGTGGTGGCAACTGGGATCACTCAGTGGCATTCAGCTGGAGGAGGGGGCTAGCCTGGTGAGGCCAGGATGGCTTCTCTGGGAGCCAGCTGAACCCCCCTTTGCCTCCATGCATTATCTCTAGTTGGGCATCTTACAGGTGGCTCAGGCCTTCCATAGCCGGTGTTCCAAAAGATGAGAAGTGGAAGCTGTTAGCTCTTAAGGCCTGGGCCTGGGAAATGAGCACAGCTTTATAAGCACAGAATCTGATTAATGCAGAGCCTGTGCAGATTCAAGGGAAGGAGACCTAGACTCCACCATCCCATGGGAGAAGCATCAGAGAATTTGTGTCTGTCTTAAATCTACCAACTTCCTCATTGTTCTCACCTGTAAAATGTGGATAATAGTAGTACCTGTCTTACAGTAAATGTTACTAAGTGTAAAGGGCATAGAATAGTGCCTGGCTTCTAGGAAATGTAAGTATTTGTCATATCATTATTGTTAGGTATAAGATACATTTTTGTTTATAGTTATAATTTATAGAGCACATAAGAAATATAAGATACAGGTTTTTTTGTTGTTTTTTTTTTTGCCCCAGATCTTTTTATAACCTTATTGGGGAGGTACAGGATTGACATCATGAAGTTATTCAGAGAACTATACAAAATGATATGAAATAGTTATAATTTTTTTTTTTTGAGGCAGAGTCTTGCTGTGTTGCCCAGGCTGGAGTGAAGTGGCTTGATCTCAGCTCACCTCAACCTCCTCCTCCCAGGTTCAAGCAATTCTTGTGCCTCAGTCTTCTGAGTAGTTCAGATTACAGACGTGAGCCACCATGCCTGGCTGATTTTGTATTTTTAGTGGAGACAGGGTTTCATTATCATGGCCAGACTGGTCTTGAACTCCTTGCCTTAAGTGATCCACCTGCCTTGGACTCCCAAAGTGGTGGGATTACAAGTGTGAATCACTGTTCTTATAGTAAAAGTCAATTGTGTAACAGTTAACAACTGCATAGCATCATATCTCTGGGGTCATTCCAAAGAACTTTTCCTTTATCACTTCTATAGAGCTAGAAAATGTCTAATTTTCTCATTAGACCTCTACCTAATTTACCTAGACATTTACATTTGTATAATTATACAGTTTTACCTAATTTTAACAGTTAGGTCCATGGAGGAGGGTTTCGTGTGTGTGTGTGTGTGTGTGTGTGTGTGTGTGTGTGTAAAATATGTCCTTATTCCCATGGGAGATAGCATAGCATAAAAGCATACACTCCAGTGTTTAGGGACCAGGATTAAAATCCTGACTTTGGCACACTAATAGTTGTATGATTTTGGATAAGTGACTTAAACTCTCCATATCTCAATTGTTTCTCTTGTAAATGGTGGTAATTTGGTTCTTATAGAATTGTTTCAGTTAATGGATATTGTATTAATCCATTTTCACACTGCTATAAAGATACTACCTGAGAGTGGGTAATTTATAAAGGAAGGAGATTTAATTGACTTAACAGTTCCCCATCACTGAAGAGGCCTCAGGAAACTTACAGTCATGGCAGAAGGCGAAGGGGAAGCCAGGCACATCTTACATTGCAGCAGGGGAGAGAGAACCAGGTGGAGGGGAGTAGGGACTGCCAGACATTTTTAAACGATCAGATCTGGTGACAACTCATTCACTGTCACAAGAACAACATGGGGGAAACTGCTCCCGTGATCCAGTTGCCTCCCACCAGGTCCCTCCCTTGACATATGGGGATTACAATTTGGTTTGAGAACACAAAGCCAAACCATATCAGATATGACATGCTTAGCACAGATCTGCGGTAAGTAGTCAGTAAATGATAGCTAAAAAGAATGATAAACTTGGAAGCCTTTTCAGGCAAGCAGTACAGCGGGATGTGTAACTGATTACTCACGTGGTTGTTCACTATCCTTGAGGATTCAGCACTGGGAACAGTGTCCGCCACCTACCGTCATGCCTTTCTTTCTATACTCTTGTTCGGGGCAGCATTAGTCATTCCAGTACCTCAGTGTTGCTCTTTGTCCCAGTTTTCTCTGAATCTCATGGTGATCTCAAACCAGGAGATAATGCCAATACCCCAAACAAAGCTTTCCATGAACAGATGAGGGGAATCAAGGTCTAGACTTGATAGGTGAGGTAATGGGGGGATGAAGTTTAGAGATTCTAAGTTGAAGGGGCATGCCACTGAAGAAATTTAGCAGAGAGTGGAAGACTGAAACTGGTAGCTGAAGCTAAAGTTTCACATTTAGGACTTCTGTTAGAACATGTGAAAGCCAAGAATGAAAGTGATTGCCAAGGGAAAGAGGAGAGGGCTACCATGCTGCACCTTAAGGAGCTTCAATGTTTGCAAGGCTCGAGGGAGACAGGCACAGCATGGGAATGGGACAGATCAGGGACATAGGAAGAGAACCAGAAGAGTTCTGGGAAAGGAGGGATTTCAGGATGGGAGTTGGCAGACTGCACTGCCATGTGTGGCAGGAAAGATGGAGAGGATGGTTGGGGACTGAGGAAAGGTCGTTGTTGGGAAAGTCTGTTTCAGCAGAGAGAGTGGCAGCAAGGTTGCAAGGTGATATGTTTTGGCTGTGTCCCCACCCAAATCTCATCTTCAGTTGTAACTCCCACAATCCCCACGTGTCATGGGAGGAACCTGGTGGGAGTTAATTGAATTATGGGGGTGGGTCTTTCCTGCACGGTTCTCATGATAGTGTGATAGTGAATGAGTCTCACAAGATTTGATGCTTTTAAAAAGGGAATTTCCCTGCAGAAGCTCTCTTTGCCTGCTGCCATCCATGTAAGATATGACTTGCCCATCCTTGCCTTTCACCTTCCCCCAAGATTGTGAGGCCTCCCCAGCCATGTGAAACTGTAAGTCCAATAAACCTGTTTCTTTTGTAAATTACCCAGTCTGGGTATGTCCTTATCAGCAGTATGAAAATGGACTAATACACAAGGTGAAAAAGGAGTCATGAGAAAGTAAAGTGGGGTGTGTAGATAGCTATTTTGAAAAGTGTGAAAGAGAGGCCTGTGGTGACTAGAGGAACCTAGAGGGAGGGCTTTATTGTTAGCCTGTTTTGCTTTGTTTTCAACGTGGGGCAATCTCGATGTGTTTGTTTGGAGGAAGCAGTGAGCCAGTGAAGGACAGGGTGAAGAAAGTTTCATTGATGAAACCAGGTCCTAGCAGAGGCAGGAAGGGTGAAGGGGCGAGGGAAAGTTCACCTTAGGAAGAAGGAGGAGGCACATTTCATCCCATAAAGCCTAAGGCATGAGGGAGGAGTGAGTGGGACATTTGGAACTGAGTAAAATTTAGGGCACTATGCTTATCAAGTGGGTTCAACCTTCTTTTATTTTATGTTATTTATTTTTATTTTTTGAGACAGAGTCTAGCTTTGCTGCCTAGCCTGGAGTGCAATGGCACAATCTCTGCTCACTACAACCTCATCCTCCCAGGTTCAAGCGAATTGCCCATCTCAGCCTCCCCAGTAGCTGGGATTACAGGCCCCTGCCATCATACCTGGCTAATTTTTGTGTTTTTGTAGAAACAGGTTTTCACCATGTTGGCCAAGCTGGTCTCAAACTCCTGACCTCAGGTGATCTGCCCACCTTGGCCTCCCAAAGTACTTGGATTACAGGCGTAAGCCACCATGCCTGGCCAGTTTCAACCTTCTTAGTGAAGTTAACGTCACAGTCATTATATTTTTATGAGTGAGGGAAAGAGATGTGGTGGGAATGAAGACACTGGGAAGATCACAGAGGAGCAACCCCAAACGTAGAGCAGGTTAAGAATCATGGCACTGGACGCGGTGGCTCACACCTTTAATCCCAGCACTTTGGGAGGCCAAGGTGGGCAGATTGCCTAAGCCCGGGAGTTCAAGGCCAGCCTGGGCAACATCCCATCTCTGCCAAATTTTTTTTTAATTAGCCAGGTATGGTGGTGCACACCTGTAGTCCCAGCTGTGGCGGGAGGATTGCCTGAGCCCAGGAGACTGCAGTGGGCTGTTATCACGCCCCTGCAGTCTAGCCTGGGTGGCAGAGCTAGATCCTGTTTCAAAAAAAAAGAACGGTGGGAAAGTAGGTGACAGCTCAGCTGAGCCCTGATCTGGAAGATGGGAGGGGCAGGTGTAAGTAAAGTATTCCCAGGACAGAACCAGAGGCTTTCGGAGGAGAGCACAGGAAGAGATTTGCAGCCTGCCTGCTCAGAGTCACTGGAATGCCTGGGATGCAGTTACCAGACTCCACCGTAGACTGAGAGAACAAACCCGGGATGTTTCCAGGAATCTGCATTTTTAAGAAGCTCCCCAAATGATTCCTAGGGATAACACTTATTATAGAATCCTTCCACACGCCAGATACTAGACTAAATGTTAACACAGGTAACCGCAATAACCTGTGAGATAGGGTGAGGACAGAGAAGTCATTTGCTCAAAGTCATGTAGCCAGTGAGTGGGGGAACTAGGTCTCCAACCCACTGGCCAAGAACATAGCTGGTTTGGGGAGCCGCTGGTGGTTCATTGTGGCTGGCACATACTTGGAGTAATGGGAGGTAAGTCTAAGTGAGAAGGTGTATTGAAAAGCTTAGATTTGGGCTTTAGTGATTCAGCAGTGCTTAAGTACTGAGAATGAAGGCAAAGAAAGCAGATGATGGCTTTTTAGATTTTTAGTACCAGACGGCCATTTTTTTTTTTTTGAGATGGGGTCTCTCTCTGTCACTCAGACTGGAGGGCAGTGATGTGATCATGGCTCACTACAGCCTCAACCTCCTGGGCTCAAGTAATCCTCCCACCTCAGCCTCTCAAGTAGCTGGGACTACAGGCATGTGCCACCATGCCCAGCTAATTTTTGTTTTTATTTTTCATAGAGACAGGGGCTCACTATGTTGCCAGACTGATCTCCTGTACTCAAATGATCCTCCTGCCTCAACCTCCCAAAGTGTTGGAATTACAAGTGTGAATCACCATGCCCAGCGAAGACTGCCACCTTAACTTCATAATCTTGTCCCAATCTGACTCCATTTCTTCTGACTATTTCTCTTCCATAAATCATCCCCTTCTAGACTGCGCTCCTAGGCACCCGAGACCATGGCTTACTGGTCTGAGTGTTCAGTGTCTAGCTCTTAACTATTTTGTTTAGTCGTGTGTCATGCACTTTTGTGTGTGTGTTTACCTCACTACAGTTTAAACTGCATGACAGTGGCGGCCTGGAGAGGTTGGTGCATTGTTGTAGCCCTAGAGCCTGGCACACAGTAGCCAGTTGATGACTAGATGCTGAATGGTGAAACTTCCAGCGTCCCATCTCATTTGGGGTCAGAGTCATGGTTCGTAACAGGGCCTGAAAGGCTGGGCATGTGTCCCCTCTAGTATGTTGTCTTTTACCACTCACTCAGCCACACCTGAGCCCAGCAAGCTCCTGCCTCGGAGACTTGGGGCTTGCTGTTCTCTCTGGCCCAGGTGCCTGCACAGCTCCTTCCCTTCCTTCAGGAGTCTGCTCAAGTAGTGCCTTAGAGAAGCACAAAGGCACGAGTGAGGAGACCTGCTGCTTTGTGATGCCTCTTATATCATTTCTGATGGTGGTAGGTATTTTGACCTGTACCTTATCTCCCAAAGTAGGCTCCTGATTTTCCCAACTTCTAATTCAGTGACCTGTGAATACATGTTGGATAAATATGGATTTGATCTCAGCCAGCTGGCTTTTCTGTCACCTTATACTTCTTTATATATGTGTATATTATTTTTCATTTGATACATTCCTTAGTAGACACAAGAGAAGTACATATAGTATTGGCATGGTCATATTCTAGATTTGGACTGTTTAAATATTGTGGCTTTTTAAAATTTTTATTTTTTAATATAAAAAAAGATAGGGTTTCACCATGATGGCCAGGCTGATCTTGAACTCCTGACCTCAGGTGATCCACCCACCTCAGCCTCCCAAAGTGCTAGGATTACAGGCGTGAGCCACCGCGCCCAGCCAATGTTGTGACTTTTAAAATATAAATTAAATTAGAATTTCAGTCCCTCAGCCACATTTCAAGTGCTCAATGGCCGTGTAGCCAATGGCTACTGTATTGAGCAGTGCAGATAGAGATCATTTCCATTATGACAGATAATTCTGTTGAACAGCACTGCTCTAGATGCCTTAGAAACAGAGGTGTGTATGTGTGTGTGTGTGTGTGTGTGTGTGCATGCACATGTGTATGTGTGAAACTGTAATGGGAGAGTGAAGCACAGATCAATCAGTGATTTTCAATGCCATTTAGTTTCCAGTGAGGTCCTTGAGAATATCTGTCGTATTTGTGATTTTTTGCTGTAGGTCTCTTGAATGGTTGAGCATGGACCCTGTTGCTACCCACAGCTGCCATCTCCTCCAGCAACTGCATGAGCAGCGAATCCAAGGCCTGCTTTGTGACTGTATGTTGGTGGTAAAAGGAGTCTGCTTTAAAGCACATAAGAATGTGCTAGCAGCATTCAGCCAGTATTTTAGGTAGGTATTTTAGACTTCATTCTCCCAGCTGTGAACTGAGGGTAAAGCTCTTCTAGTATGGAAGTATTTTGACCACATTTTGTTCTCCTTAGGTTTCACTGTCTTTATCTTTTCATAACACATTGGATTTTGTAAGAGTTTTTTGTTTTAATTTTTAAGTTTGTTAATCATCTTTATTATTTTTGCTTTTGTGTTTAGAGTAACCTGAAAAGAAAAGAGGCTCTTAATGAAAATGAATTTGGGATGATTGAAAGTATTTTGGTTCTTTGTCTTCCATTTTAATAATTCTGGTTGTCAGTCTTCTGCATATATTTCCAATCCTTTCAACATAAAATGGTGGAGGAATTAAGTTCCTGGTTAGAATTTTTCTGTGATAAGAAATCAGAGAGGGAAAAACATATTCTGTGTATTGTGTTTTTCTTTTTTTTTCTTAATTAAAGCATTTTAGCTTTTGTTTCTCATTGGAATATTCTACGAAAACCTTATAATCATTTTGGCTTATATGAAATATTTATTTATAAAAAATAATACCAAGAAGTTGTTTTTCAGCTTATTTAAATGTTATTCTGTATTCCCAGCTACTCAGGAGGCTGAGATGGAAGGATCCCAGGAGATGGAGGCTGCAGTGAGCCGTGGTCGTGCCACTGTACTCCAGCCTGAGCAACAGAGCAAGACTCTGTCTCTTAAAAAAAAAAAATTGTTAGAGTTAAGTGATTCTGCATAAGTTCATTTTGTAGTTAGCAGATTTATCTATCTTTACATACAAAGTCTCTTTTTTAAAGTACTTTTTGTTTCCAAAATGCATACGGTTTTACTGCTCTAGTAGACAACGTGGGACATGATTTGCTCTTTCCTTGAGAATCCTGAATCATCAAATTAAGTCTCAGTTATTGTATAGGCCACATTACACATTGTAGTGCATCAGCTTCTTGAGGTAGGTAGCAGGTTTTTTTCCTGTGCAAAATGGTCCCAAACTCTTGAGTTTGCTATCACCTGTTTTTTCTGTCTTCCCAGGACAATTAAAATTTGATATTGTGATATCAGGCTGTTTTCCACTTAGAAACAGAACTGGAGGCTGTTTAGGGGAAATAGGTGACTGTATTTGACAAAATGTTTTCAATTTACATACCTGAGCTTATTATTTCATACATAATACAAATTTGTTCACCTGTGACCGTGGCTTATATCCAGAATAAAGTGCCTGGGCTTTAGAGTGCCTTTTATTCTTCATTAACTCATAGGGTTTTTCTTACTGTTGGTTTTTGAACCCCTGGGTTGCTGAAAAACCTAACAGCCAAAAAAATTACTGGTTACAAAGGAATGTATGTGGAGGGTTGGTTTATTCTAGCTATTTTTATTTTATTTTAAGTTTTCTAGGCACTTGGATGTAGAAATATTTGTTTATATGGTTTGTGGCCTGAAATATAATACTTGTCAGACTATGAAATATGGAAAACAGTATATTCTTTAGTTTTGTGTACTCTATTGGTATATAATTAACATATATGGATAATTACATTTTGAAAACTATTTAGAGCAAACTTTTATTTCTTAAGTAGGTCATATTGGGAATTATCTTAGAATCTTCTTGATTCGTGGTTTATCAGTCATATTACTATATGTAATTTTTTTTTAATTTGTAAAATTGAGTATATTCGAAAAATTTACTTTGAGATATATTTGAAGTTTGAATACTCAATCCACTAATTTAATTCATCTGAATTATTTAGTTGGATGGTTTGCTAAATTATTTTAAAGGATTAAAATGTACTTGTGTTAAAAGTCTTGACATTCATAGGATAGTATTTTTAAATATTAATATACGAATGTTATTTATAAGAAAAAGATGGTATGAATTTTTGACACTGTAAACAGATATTCTTTCTTTTATCAGGAGCCTCTTTCAGAATTCTTCAAGCCAGAAGAATGATGTCTTTCACTTGAATATTAAAAATGTCAGTGGCATAGGGCAGATCCTGGACTTCATGTATACTTCTCATCTAGAGCTTAACCAGGACAATATACAAGTAATGCTGGACACAGCACAGTGTTTGCAAGTTCAAAATGTTCTGAGTCTGTGTCACACATTTTTAAAATCAGCCACTGTAGAACAGCCACCTGGCATGCCTAGTAACAGTACGTTGTCTCTGCAAAGCACCCTGACCCCCGATGCCACTTGTGTTAACAGTGAAAACACCTACTCTCCTCACTTACTGCCGGAATGTTCGGCAGACACACAGCATAATAAAGGGTTGGATGAATCGCATTCACATGCTTCACCCTCAGTGAACCTTCATCACTCCACAGGTGAAATAGCAAAACAAGCCCCTGATAGTTCAGACGGCACCTGCACAGAACTGCCTTTCAAACAGCCAAGTCACTATTACAAACTCAGAAACTTTTACAGTAAGCAGTACCATAAACACGCAGCTTGTCCCAGTCAGGAGCGAGTCGTTGAGCAGCCTTGTGCTTTCAGCACCTCCGCAGACCTTACCACGATAGAAAGCCAGCCTTGTGCTGTCAGTCATGCCGAATGCACCCTGGAGTCTTCCGAGCACTTGCCTTCTAACTTCCTGGCCCAGCCTGTGAATGACTCTGCCCCAGACCCTGAGTCAGACGCCATATACCAACAACCTGTCAAGCAGATGAGGCTCAAAAAGGCCATTCATCTGAAGAAACTCAATTTCCTAAAGTCACAGAAATCCGCAGCGCAAACATCGGAACCCAAGTCGGATGATGGTTTAACAAAGAGGGTGGAATCTGCTAGTGAAAATACCCTAGAGAAAACTAGCAGCCAAAGTACTGAAGAAAAAGAAAGTGAAGAACCCGTCAGTTGTGAGAATTATAATTGCATGAGTGAGACGGAGAGGCCCGAAGACCCGGCAGCACTGGAAGACCAGTCCCAGACACTTCAGTCCCAGAGACAATACGCGTGTGAATTATGCGGGAAACCTTTTAAACACCCAAGCAACTTGGAGCTTCATAAACGGTCTCATACAGGTACACTGATTCAGTACCCACAGGCAGATGGGAAGGATGTAATGCAGATGTTCAGACACCACTGGCTCTTCTTGTTTTTGTAAGAAGTTTTGCTATTGCTTTATGTCATTGATGTTTTTGAACAAAATAAGGGGCATTAGCTAACTTTTTGTTTTATACTTTTGGTGATGCATCTGACAAAGTTTTGTAAATGGTTTTATAGAGCCACTTTAAAAAGGTGCACATTTTAATTTTTATTTCAACTGTTTTTATGTGACAAACCATCTGTCTCTAAAGAAGTATAGTAAGTTTGGTGCACTCAGAATTTTAAATTAATTCTAAAATGGATAAGCTATATTTAGTTGCCTTTTTAGAATTAGATTAAGCTTATTTTTTGAAAGCATAATGTAGATCAATTTAGACTAACATAATTTACTTTGAATAATTCTAAAAGTTCTCTTGGAAGGAATTTGAGTATCTAATTTGTAAAATTCCGATTTGGGAGGCAGGAGGTAAACTTTTTAATAAGAATCAGCTTTAAACACCACATATTCTCACTCATAGGTGGGTGTTGAACAATGAGAACACATGGACACAGGGAGGGGAGCACTACACACTGGGGTCTGTTGGGGGGAAATGGCGGGGGGACAGCGGGGGGAGGGGAGTTGGGGAGAGATAGCATGGGGAGAAGTGCTAGATGTGGGTGATGGGGAGGAAGGCAGCAGATCACACTGCCACGTATGTGCCTATGCAACAGTCTTGCATGTTCTTCATATGTACCCCAAAACCTAAAATGCAATAAAATTAAAAAAAAAAAAAAAGAATCAGCTTTAACCGTTTGATATTCTCAAATGAAAATTCTTCCAATTTAAACATTGAAATTTCAAAGGTTTATTATCTTAATTCATGCCTATTTCTCTTTCCCAAAAGTTTTTTTAAGGTATACTATATATATATATATATATACACACACCCATTATGTTATACAATACATATTTATTACTTTTCTTCCTATAATTAAACATGAGCTTAACAACACCTTACAGATGAACAATTACTTTATAGGCAGGAGAAGTAACATACAAGACTCTTCCACAACAACTGCTTTTAAGGTGTATATATAATTGTGTTTGTTGATGTGACCTTCTGTTATCACTATGGATTCCCAGTTTGCATAGGTGTTTACCACCTTGTATTATTGGGAAATTTCATTAATAATTATGAAGACCGGGCGCGGTGGCTCACGCCTGTAATCCCAGCACTTTGGGAGGCCGAGGTGGGTGGATCACGAGGTCAAGAGATCGAGACCATCCTGGTCAACACGGTGAAACCCCGTCTCTACTAAAAATACAAAAAATTAGCTGGGCATGGTGGCGCGTGCCTGTAATCCCAGCTACTCAGGAGGCTGAGGCAGGAGAATTGCCTGAACCCAGGAGGCGCAGGTTGCGGTGAGCTGAGATCGCGCCATTGCACTCCAGCCTGGGTAGCAAGAGCGAAACTCCGTCCCAAAAAAAAAATAATAATTATGAAAGTCCTTGATACATTTTAGTGCATTTGAATATAAAGTACTGTTATTATCACTAGTAATTCAAAATTATTCCATGTGAAGGCACTATCACAGACTTAGTTTTGCCCTGAAAAAACTTTAGATCATTCTGTTTTGCCTAAATCTCCTGCAGTCTAATGATTATTGCAATTTTTTTTTTTTTTTTTTTTTAGACAGAGTTTTACTCTGTCACCCAGGCTGGAGTGCGGTGGCACGATCTCGGCTCACTGCAACCTCCACTTTCTGGATTCAGGCAATTCTTCTGCCTCAGCCTCCCGAGTAGCTGGAACTACAGGCATGTGCCACCAAGCTCATCTAATTTTTTTTTTTTGTATATTTAGTAGAGATAGGGTTTTACCCTTTGGTCAGGCTCGTCTCAAACTCCTAACCCCAAGTGATCTGCCTACCTCAGCCTCCCAAAGTGCTGGGACTACAGGCGTGAGCCACCATGCGTGGCCTGATGGCTGTAATTTTTTATTTTTGTGAAACTTACCTGCTTAGCTTTTAAAGGAATCAAAAATTGTTTATTCTGGGAGAACCTCTTTGAATGACAGATAACAGTCATGGCAAAGATACAGGGACATAAATACTATACTGATAAGAGCCGCAATTCTCAAAAGTATGGTCTAGGGAACCCTTTTGGGGGTCTGTGAGGCCAACAGTCTTTTGTTTTGTTTTTTGTTTTGTTTTTGTTGTGTTTTGTTTTTGAGACAATGTTTTGCTCTTACCCAGGCTGGAGTGCAATGGTGCAATCTCAGCTCACAGCAACCTCCGCCTCCCGGGTTCAAGCAATTCTCCTGCCTCAGCCTCCCAAGAAGCTGGGATTATAGGCATGTGCCAACATGCCCAGCTAATTTTTATATTTTTAGTGGAGGTGGGGTTTCACCATGTTGGCCAGCCTGGTCTCAAACTCTTGACCTCAGGTGATCCGCCGTCCCCAAGTGCTGGGATTACAGGCGTGAGCCACCATGCCCGGCCCACACTATTTTCAAAATAGTCTAAGATGTTACTTGTTTTTTCCTCCTCATGAGTGTACAGTTAGTCTGCCCAAGGCTACATGGCGTGTGATGAAGTCCTCACCTTGATGGCCAGTGAAGTGTGTATGTATCTGTTCTAAAGATGACTCTGTTTTCATTTCTAATATGGTAGATATCAATTATATATATATATACACACACACACACACGTAGTTAATATGGGTTGTAGCTCATATTAACAAAAGCTTTTTAGGACCTCAATTTTAAGAGTGTGAAGGGGTCCCGAGGCCAAAAAGTCTGAGGCTCACTGGAGTAGAATTGTTAACATTGGTCATTTATTAGTTTTAGTAACTGGTGACCTCTCTCTTTTCAAATTCTTATGTCTCTTATGGGGCTTCAACTTATTATCTGTCACCCCCAATAACTTCAGACATAAACGCAGTTTCATTTATTAGAATACAGAATTAATATAATTATTAATATAGTAATAATATAAATATAATTATTCTGGGTTGAGGAAGCCATTAGACATTTTCAGGATAAAATAAAAATATCTAGCCAGGCACAGTGGCTTACACCTGTAATCCCAGCACTTTGGGAAGCCGAAGTGGGCAGATCATTTGAGGTCAGGAGTTCAAAACTAGCCTGACCCACATGGTGAAACCTCGTCTCAACTAAAAATATAAAAATTAGCCAGGCATGGTGATGGGCACCTGTAATCCCAGCTACATGGGAGGCTGTGGCAGGAGACTTGCTTGAGCTTGGGAGGCGGAAGCCGCAGTGAGCTGAGATCACGCCACTGTACTTCAGCCTGGGCAACAGAGCGAGACTCCATCTCAAATGTGTGTGTGTGTGTGCATGTGTGTCTATATATAAATTCTAGAATGAGCCCAGAAAGCGAGCAAGCTGCTTTCTTCAAGGCACCAAGCCCAAACAATATAGTAGGAAGGGAAATCATTGTTGATACTTTTTAAAGAAGATCTTAATGAAACCATTTGACTTGAGGGAAATGGGGAAAATGAAAGGTTCTCGATATTTAAAGTCTATTCATTAGGGTTATATTTAATCAGATCAAAGGCAGTACCACTGGGTGTGCTTTTAAATTCAGATCATTTTCTATAGACCACATTTCAGAATAGCTGTGTTTTTGTTTTTGTTTTTGTTTTAAAATTGAGACAGTCTCACTCTATTGCCCAGGCTGGAGTGCAGTGGTGCGATCTTGGCTCACTGGAGCCTCTGCCTCCTGGGTTCAAGCGATTCTCCTGCCTCAGCCTCCTGAGTAGCTGGGACTACAGGTGCGTGCCACCACGCCCCACTAATTTTTGTATTTTTAGTAGAAACGGGGTTTCAGCATGATGGTCAGGCTGGTCTCTTAACTCCTGACCTTGTGAACCGCCTGCCTCAGCCTCCCAAAGTGCTGGGATTATAGGCATGAACCACTGTGCCCAGCCTACAGCTGTGGTTTTTCTGTAGTAAAGTACCATTCTTACAATCTGTTCTATCCCCAAGTGCAGTTATTCAGTTACTGAAATTAGAGGTGATAAAGAAGTAGGCAGAGGAGCACATCTCCCATAATGAAAGCTTCCTTTCTTCCTTGAGCAACCAAGGCAGGAAGACTGCGGCAAGGGACACTTTCCCTGTCACACTCATGCTTCAGGAGGTCCCATTCTGTTTGGGGTTCTCTGTGTTCATACCTGGTGTGGTGTGAACAAGTGACCCTATGACTGTTAGGGATTGGTGGTTAAGTGGCATCAGGCCAAAGAACAAGTGAGCAGGATCGTGCTGCTCAGCAGGAAAACTCATCTTGACTACAGGAAAAGACCACTTCCAGAACGTGAGTCTTCTTTGATGCAGATAAATACATTGGATTTTAACATAGGTTCTATTTGGAGAACTGTTTAATATTTTAGAGGAAAATACAGATTTTGGCCGGGCACGGTGGCTCACACCTGTAATCCCAGCACTTTGGGAGGCTGAGGCAGGCAAATCACTTGAGGTCAGAAGTTCAAGACCAGCCTGGCCAACATGGGTGAAACCCCATCTCTACTAAAAATGCAGAAATTAGCCGGTGTGGTTGTGGGCACCTATAATCCCAGCTACTTGGGAAGCTGAGGTGGGAGAATCGCTTGAACCTGGGAGGCGGAGTTTGCAGTGAGCCGAGATCATACAACTGCACTCCAGCCTGGGTGACAGAGCAGGACTCTGACTCTCTCTATATATATGTATACCTTTTGTCATCTCTGTGTAGAAATAAAGGCAAGAGATAACTGTGAGGAGGCAGACACTCCCCATTTTCATACCGTTATGATACAGAACATAATGTCATTTTGACTGTACATAGGAGGTCATTTAAACAAAAAATGATTGAAGAAATATTAGTAATGATTTTACAAGTTGTTGTTTTGTTTTGTTTTAGGTGAGAAACCTTTTGAATGTAACATTTGTGGGAAACATTTCTCTCAGGTGGGAATACTCTTATTTATTGTTAATAATTGGAAACCTGAAACAGTGTTATTTTATTGGAAATGAGACATACCTTTGTACTTGTGAGAGAAGCCTCTGATTATATCTGTAACTTAAAGACTTCAGAATAAATCAGGAAAAATTTTTTTCAAGAAAACAGATTTCTAGTTCTTTGAGAGAAAAATAGCACTTTTCACATGTGAATTCTTACAGTACTTTTTTCCCTCACTAACGATGAGTCCAAACTTAGTATATGTCTTCCGTTTCACGAATGAAGGTCAGTCAACAACCTTGAGCTTGGTGTACCTGGAGGCTGCACATTGTGCTGGCATAGGCCAAAGACAAGTAATCTCCTTATTCTTGTTGGGACTGTAGATTGTGGGATGTTGGAAAAAAGATGAAACAAGTTTTGTTCCCTGTTTTGACTGCTGCCTTTAACTGACCTCTTAAGGTCATTTGGACACGTAGTCCCTTACTCCTTCAGGAAGCGTTCGTTATACCCTCCCACGGGCCAGGTACTGCGCTGGGCATGGGACACAAAGAAACCTCGAGACCTAATGTTTTATAGAAAATGGCTTGTGGGAACCTACTTTCTCTCTGAAACAGAAGGTAACTATTGTGCGGCGCCCGGGGCTTCCAGAGGTAAATCACATAGAAGCTGCTCCAGGGCGTGAGGGCGCAGCTCTTCAGGGCACGGTCACCGGCACGACTGTCTCGCACAGAGCATGGTAGATCCTGCGGCAGCAGTGCGTGCCTCGGGAGCTGAGACACCGTGGAAATGGCAGGCACCGTGTTTTCTGGCATTCCCCCGAGAGCTGGCTCTTCCAGTTTTTCTCTTCCTCTGTTGAGGGTGTCAGTTCCTTTTCTCACACACCCAAACCTGCCACCTTAATGACTCTTCACCCTCCCACTCTTTGACCCCCTGCCTGCTGGGATTCAGCAAGTCGTTGTGTCTCCCTTCTTGTACTCGGTTGGGTTGTATCCCCCTGGACGGTTAGTTTTTCTGGGCTGGGCCTGGGGCTGTGTCTTCTTTCCCATCCAGGAGAACACCCAGCAGCCAGCAGGTGTTCAGGAAGGATTTGACGAGCTGCGCTGAGTGCTCATCAGTCCAGCTGCCATTCTTGATGAGCCACCCCCACCCCCATTCTTCCTGCCAGTCTGGCCTGGGGTTCAGAGCTCAGCCTCTGGGGCTGCAAAGTCTAGAATTGAGCTCTGCCTCTGTCAGGACTTAATTACACTGTGACTTTGGGCAAGCTTACCCTTTGGCCCTTCAGTTTCCTTATCTGTGAAACACTGATAAGAAGATCACTTAATCCCATAGAGTGTGAGGAGTAATGAGTTAATAAAGGCAAGTCCTTAGAGCAGTCCCTGGCACCCAGTAAGCCCTCAGGAAACGTCAGCATTCGCCTGTTGCCATCCACTTTCTTCTGTCCTGTCTGTCCTCACGACCCTCAGATGCCGATCTTTCTGAGGCACCTCCCTGCCCCCACCATTTTCATCTCAGCAGTTTTAGTTTGATGGGAAAAGCATGAGACTCAGACTAATAACCATTAATGATTAGCAGTCACAACTTCTCTGGGACTTATTTTTCTAATTTTTAAAATAGGGATAATACTACTTCACGGAACTGTTGGGAAGATGAAATGAAAAACTAGGGCTGAAAGCCTTTTATACATTTAAATTATGATGAGAGTAGAAGTTCCATCATTTTCATTACTTCTCTGACTCTACATCGCTGACCCTATAAATTAAAACCAGATATTCAGGCAGGCTGCAGTCCGCCTCCACTCCTCTCTCCTGGCCCGGATGCCTGGTGCTCACATCAGAGATTCTGATTCTGTGATTTGGAGTGGGGCTCAGGTGTTGGTATTTTTAAAAATTCAGCAATTTTGATATGCAGCCAAGGTTGAGAACTACTACTGTAGCCCTTGACCTGTACGAACTCTCTTAAATCCTACCACAGGTAGCCCTTGCTTGATCCAGAAATCCTTCCCTTCTATATTTGTCTGTGTACTTTTGTTAGGTTTCTATGACTGTAGAGTCATACGCAGTGATGGTATTCAGATGTATATTACTGCTTTATGTTCATAGTAAAGTATGGATTTTGGTGAACAAGGAACTGTTTTAATGTTTGTTGCAAGCCTACAGTGTCTATGTGCTGTCCATGAGCTCTGCCATGTGCTGGGAGGGGGGGCACAAAAATGGCCATGGCCTCCAGGAGATTGGTTTTTTTTTTTTAGACAGAATCTTGCTCTGTCATCCAGGCTGGAGTGCAGTGGCACGATCGTGGCTCACTGCAACCTCCGTCTCCTGGGTTCAAGTGATTCTTCTGCCTCAGCCTCCTGAGTAGCATGGATTACAGGCATGCAACACCATGCCCGACTAATTTTTGTATTTTTAGTAGAGACAGGGTTTCACCGTATTGGCCAGGCTGACCTCAAACTCGTGACCTCGTGAACCACCCACCTCGGTTCCCAAAGTTCTGGGATTGTAGGCATGAGCCACCGCGCCCAGCCCAAGTGCTTATTGTTTAGAGGAAGAAACAGACATGTAAGTGATCAAGTACAGTGAAATGTTGGAAATGCTGACATATCTACAGGAACAATGTGGGCAAAGAAAAGACAGTTGTCCTTTCTACCTGAAAGGTGTGTTTGGGACAGCATGAGGGCATGAAGTGTTTGAGAGGTTGCTTAGGTGAGCCCTGCAGACAAGCAGGCACTGGGCGAGACTGTGTCCCTGGCATGCTGGAGCAAGAAAGCAGATTGTCTGCAAAGAGATGTGTAGTAGAGGATGCCTGCTCACCCATCCTCCACCGTATGCCTAACATTCTTTTCTTGTAATGAACTAGAATAAATGTTTGTGGTCATAGGGAATTGGATTGCTCCTGTATAATAATATTTACAAATAAGAATCTCTCATCCTGCTTACTGAGAATTTAGTATTTAGTGTGTTAGTCTTTTTTAAAAAGTTAACCACAGCCCACATAATGAGAATGCCAGCATAAGGAAGTTAGCATCATCTTGGAGTGACAACAGGGGCTGCATCTGTCTGTGAGACTGGACACTGTATATGTCCAGATCTCTGCAAGGAAGAGTCATGTCATACTTTAGAGTGTGACTGAGTCACACTCAGAGGGAAGTGTTTTCTTTGTGGCGTAGAACATGGACTGTTTGGAGGGCATTGGAGAGAAACCAAAAGAGTGACAAGTTTTGAGCGCTTGTCATGTGAGAAACTGGAAAGAAAATGAGGCGTAATGCCCTGTCCTTTGGGAGAGGAGTAGGATTGTTTTTGTTCCCCCAAGCAGGTAGAAATAGAAACACTGGGCAGCTGGTACAGAGATGGGTTTTGAGAGGCACTGCTCTCCCAGCAGCACTGTCTGGCCAGCTGTCTGCCCAAGTCCGGGGGTGTTAGTGTCCTCTGCAGGATTACTGTATGGGAGGCGTTTCCAGGGTGCTGATGTGGACTCATGCCAGAGGTGACAATGTCACCCATCCATGGTGGAAACACAAAAATAAGGACAATTAATGAGCTTTACCCAAGCTATTACATTTTCATCTCTAAGGTTATATTTCCCACACTTTTACTGTTAAGTGTCAATTTATCAAAAGGGTGATTATTATTTAAGTGACATCTCTGTGAATCCTTACATTTTTTTCTTTTTAATTTTATTGCCTCATGAAATCCTAAAGTTTAGAAATTCCTGAGCTAGCTGACGTTTAAGATCTGGGATCCTGGCTGGGCACGGTGGCTCACACCTGTAATCCCAGCACTTTGGGAGGCCAAGGCAAGTGGATCACGAGGTCAGGAGTTCGAGACCAGCCTGACCAACATGGTGAAACCTCGTCTCTACTGAAAGTACAAAAATTCACCAGGTGTGGTGGCATGGGCCTGTAATCCCAGCTACCCAGGAGGCTGAGGCAGAAGAATCGTTTGAACTCGGGAGGTGGAGGTTGCAGTGAGCTGAGGTCATGCCACTGCACTCCAGCCTGGGTGACAGAGCAAGACTCCATCTCAAAAGAAAAAAGAAAAGATTTGGGATCCCTTTTATCTCTAAATGATTATGATTCCTGACTTTTTTTTACATATAAACACTCAGCTGCCGTTAAGAGTGTTCATGATTGGAAATAGATGATAGACGCTGGGTTTGTTCATGTTTAATTACTGAGGTTGAAGTACCTGTCAGAAGGAGTTTATTATAAAAATTGCTCAAGGCAGTTGTTAATTCTTCTGTACAGCAGAGTTTTTCTGTTAAAAATTTTAACAACTCCATCTGAAGTTAAAATGGTATTAGAAAGGATCAAAGTTCATTTACTGCTAATAACTTTAACATAGGTTTAACAGTTCAAACTTTGGAGTCACTAGGCAAACCTGAATTAGTGAATTCAATCCCAGTTTTATGACCGAAGGCTGGGTCTTACCTCTCAGAGCCTATGTTGACTTCTCTGTAAAACATGAATAATACTGCTTTACAAGACATTGTGATGACTAAGTTAAATACTCTTTGCAGCAACTTAGCAAAGAGCTTCACAGTAAGTTCTTAAGAAATGATAGCTATTATTGTCATTACCACTTGCTAGAATTTTTATGGACACGACTATAGATGATTTCTAAGATGTGGTCTGTGCACCTAGGATATCCTTAGTACTAGAATATATCAAAAGTTTACCAAAAAAAAAAAAAAAAAATTGACTAAAGCTCTAATAATCCGGGCCTGAGTTTGCTGTGTAACCTGGAATAAATTATCTGAATGTATTAATGGATATTTTGCCTGGCTCTTCCATTAGTTTTATATAATCTGCTTTTATATTGTTCATCAGAAATATGCATTCCTTTATCAGAGAGAAAGATTATTTTCATTATCTATTTCTAGTACAAAATAGGTAAAGATCATTTTTTTCCTACCACTTAAAATATTAAATGGAAGATCATTCGAGTATATTTCTTTTGAAAACAAGTAATTGTTATGCCATTTTTAAAAAGGAAAAATGCAGCATTGCTAAGAATTGACCCAGAATGCATTTCAATCATAATACATAGTTTACAAAATAACTGAAAACAAGCGGGCTGTAATTTAACAGTTCAGCAAATGGTGCTATGCAGATTATTATGTAACTGATCAGCTTTTCTGACATTTGCAAGTGACTAATTTAAAACACTGGTGTATTATTTTAACTCTCCATTATGTGGCAGAGTTACTGTCATATTGAATATTCAAAACACACTATTTCATTCATAGAAACTTGTGCATCCTCAAGTTTTCCTCACAAGTAGAGGAGTTTAGATTCACATCAACCAGTATTAATTTCTGACCACACCATGTAACTGGGACAACTACTTTATTCATCTGAATACAATGGTAGTTGTACAGTTTATCTGAATACAGTGTTAGTTGTATTATTATCTCAAGAAAATAGATGGTAATTTGATAGTACATATAAAGGCCTTATTTGCAGTTCAGCAAGTGTATATTGCTGTTGATATTTGTTTTATTGTTATTAGTAGCCATTCTGTTAAAAGCTGTATATTTTCCAAAGTTTTTCCAAACTCTTTCTCTTTGGTTACTGAAAATCTCAGTTTTTTCTAAGCCATATTTATCATATTCTTAAATGTGATGTCTAACTCTGTTTCCTAGCATATGACAGACATGTTGAATCTTCCATGTTGTATAGTCCACAGATGGCATTTTTTGATACTTGGGAGTTCTAGTTTCCACTCACAGGTCGATATCAAACTCATCTTCAAACCTTAACCATGAATCTTCATCTTTGCATTTTATTTAAAATACAATTTGCAAATTCAAAAAGTCACATGTGTTAGTTGGCTAGTATTCATTCTTGGTTTTTGCTTATCTTGTGCGTGATGCCAGCCTTACCACTGGGTATATTAGCTCATTTCAGTGCATTTTTTTCTTTCTTTCTTTTTTTTTTTTTTTGCAACAGAACACTATACAAAATTAAAATGGGGAAAAATAACAGGTTGAGACTATTAACTTAATTACAGCAATGGAAGATTTTCCAAATCCTAATTTGAAACATTAGCAAGTAGCTTTTTAAATATCTGAGGCATTTGCAGTTTTAATTTCACTGTACTTTAGGTAATTTAAGATTGATTTCCTATTGATTAGTAAATAGAAATCCATCTGATGATCTCCGTTTCATTCTTGGCAAAGCCTTGCTAGTTTCAGAAATTAGGAACACAGTGGCCCAGCACCTGAGAGGCTGTTGTGATCCTCCTGATTTGCACTTTTGTACAAAGGTAAAGATAAGACACCTGTCAGAAAGAACCACGTGTACTTGCTAGAGGAAGTGCTTTTTAGAAATCTGTTTCCTTCTTTATGAACAAAAGCATGTTTTTTAGAAAGAAACAACACTGAAATAAGGATGTATGGTGCTTTTTTTTTTTTTTAAATAATGTTTTAAATACATGGCCCAAATAAGATACATCAAGGCCTGTTTAAAGTACAGGCTTGACAACCACCAAAGCAGCCTCCACAGGGTGCTATGTAAGAGGGAAGCACTGCATAGTACGTGCCTGAGCTAGGACATAGCCAAGGGCTCACATGGAGGATGGTGTAGAGATGCATGCCAGGTGCAGCAGGTGGCCAGGCACTCTGGCTGTTCTTGATCCCCTTGCACGTGGCTTCTTTTGAGTTGTGTGTATCTCATCTTCTTCTGGAAGTTGGATTGAAACCTGGCTAAATGTGTCAGTTTTCCTTTTGAATGTATATAATTTAAAAAACAAAAACCTTTCATTATTGGTGTGTTTTTCTTTTCCTCTTTTTGCAGGCAGGTAACTTACAGACTCACTTACGACGACACTCTGGTGACAAACCGTACATCTGCGAGATCTGTGGAAAGAGGTCAGTGCTGGGCATGTTCTTCTGTGTGGAAGGGAGCCTGTTGAGTCTCAGTGTCTCTGGAAGTCAGTGTCCTCCGAAGCGGTGGCTCACAGATGAGCCACATGTGGGCTCACTCTGCCACTGCAGAAAACAGGTTAAATTCAAACCTTCTGGCTTTACACATGACACATAAGAGAATAATAAAAAGAAACGTTAATTCAAAGAACGAAAATCTAGGACAGGAGCCCCAAAGAGGATATGGGGCTTTATGTGGAACAAAATTATTTTATACTAAAATTTTCATTCATTCTAAAAATGTCTCTGAAAATATAATAGATTAATGCCCCCAAGGAGGTGACTGTCTACCAGGGGAAATGGGACTTGCCAGCTGAGCGACTAGATTTCAGGAGAGAAGGCAGTGGTGGAAGGTGCCACAAGCCGTGGGCCTGTAAGAGCTTGTGAGAGTTCCGTCCCTGGGAGAAGGGAACTGAGTCTTTCTGGGTGGGTAGGATTTTGACCTGGGGAAAGAATCTGATTCTTGAGATGGAATAAAGTGCGTGGCAGTTGGAATTCTCTGCACTGTGGTGTAAATGAGGAGGTCCTCCCTGCTGTGTGTGCAGGCGGCACCCTGAACCCCCCTTCCCACCCTTGGCTGTATGTCAGTCAGGCCTCGTACTCCGTCATCTGGTGGTTGTGCCAGAACAACAGGCACCAGCCGGGACTATACTTGTCACGAAGCTCTGTGCGCACTTTGGCTATGTAGCTTTTACATTCATTTATTAATCATTCATTGATTCAGCATTTTTTAGATGCCTGCTGTATGCTAAGTGCTATATGGGACCATAAAAATAAACAGTACAGGCCGGGCACAGTGGCTCACACCTGTAATCCAAGCACTTTGAGGGGCCAAGGCGGGCGGATCACCTGAGGTCAGGAGTTTGAGACCAGCCTGGCCACTGTGGCAAAACCCCATCTCCACTAAAAATACAAAAATTGGCCAGGCGTTGTGGCGCACATCTGTAATCCCAGCTACCCAGGAGGCTGAGGCAGAAGAATCGCTGGAACCCAGGAGGCAGAGGCTGCAGTGAGCCAAGATCGCACCACTGTACTCCAGCCCAGGCGACAGAGCAAGACTCCGTCTCAAAAATAAAAATAAAAATAAATGGTCCAGAGTGTCTGCCTCTTACAGATTCATACTGAAGCGTCTTGGGGCAAGAGATAGTCATGGGATGAATTAGAAATCAGAGTCCTCACATTCAGTGTCAGCACATGCTGGGGAAAGCCAAGGAGGAAGCGACTCTAGATTCAGTTTCAGGAAAACTATTGTCTCTGCCAATGATAGAAAGCAAACAAAAGCTGCAGAGGGCAGCACATCTCCCTTTCTGCTATAGCTACCTGAACGCTGAAAGCCAAGTTCGGGGCCCAGTATCATCTGCTGCCCACTGCCCATTCCAGATGCCGAGGAGCAGAGGCCTCCTGCAGCCTCAGATGGTGTCACTTCGCTGCTAGTCACTGCGTGTCTTGTTTTGCATGGGGTTTGAAATCTGAACCTTCTGAATTCCATTTCGGAGTAAGGCATGTGCTTATTTTTTATTTATTTATTTTTGAGACGGAGTTTTTGCTCTTTCGCCCAGGCTATAGTTTAGTGGCACAATCTCTGCTCACTACAACCTCACCCCCTGGGTTCAAGCAATTCTCCTGCCTCAGCCTCCCAAGTAGCTGGGATTACAGGCACATGCCACCACTCCCGGTTAATTTTTGTATGTTTAGTAGAGATGGGGTTTCATCATGTTGGCCAGGCTTGTCTCAAACTCCTGACCTCAGGTGATCCACCCACCTTGGCCTCCCAAAGTGCTAGGATTACAGGTGTGAGCAACATTGCCCAGCCAAGGCATGTGTTTAAAACCAGGTCTATACACAGCATCTTCGTCCAAATGTAACATACTCTGCTATCAAGCATAGTGGAAAGTAAAGAATATAGATTTCCGCATCTGAGGGCCTGGGTTGGAATTATTGTCTAAGGCAAGTTAGTAACCGTCTCTGAACTTGGTTTTCCCATCTGGAAAGTGGGAGTGAAAATGCCTGCCTGGCCGTGTTGAGGAACGATTAAGTGGGATAATGGTTGTTAAACACGTAACCGGGCCAGACGCGGTGGCTCACATCTGTAATCTCAGCACTTTGGGAGGCTGAGGCAGGATGATCGCTTGAACCTGGGAGGTGAAGATTGCAGTGAGCCAAGATCACACCATTGCACTCCAGCCTGGACAACACATGAGACTCTGTCTCAAAAAAAAAATGTAACTGATCATCTGCACAGAGCATCTGCTCAGTGAATGCTGGTTCCCTTTCTTCATTTAGTTCCCTTGTTCTCAGTGTTAGGACTGATAGGTGTAAGTCTCTGCTGTGGCTCAGAAAGACAAGAGCTTATTTTCTGGGGATATTCACAGTGGAGGGTGATGGCCATGCATCTTGGTCCCTGAGACTCTGAGCTCCTGTTTGCATTTTATTTTATAGTGAAAAGAGCCAGGGTTGCACATGGCTAGACCAGGGCAGAACTCACTCCGGGCTCTCTCAAAGTCATCCTCCTTGGGTTGGCAGCACCCAGCTAGAGTCTCTCCCATGAGACCCCAGGAACCTTGGCAGAACTGCAAGGGTGGAAGGGGCACTTGGCTCTGAACTGTGCGACTCCATTTTTACTCTCTTCATAGCCCCTGAGGCAGTGATGCTAAACCATAGAGCACCTGGTCTTGCACTCTATAAAACTGAGGAAGAAAGTGTAATGAAATCAGGTAGAAAATAAATGCTTTAAAAACAAGACACTCGCATCATGTTCTGCTTTCCTTAAAAAAAAAGGATTTTTTCAGTGCACATTTCGAATGAAACCAGTCCAGTTCAGATTCCATTCTGAACAGTGTCAGGAGCAGATATTCCCCCCTCAGTGAGCTACAGTTATAAAGGCCCACAGTAATGTAGAAAGGCTCTTAATTGACTTTTCAAATTACATTCTAGGTTTGCAGCCTCTGGCGACGTCCAGCGTCACATTATTATTCACTCAGGAGAAAAACCACACTTGTGTGACATCTGTGGTCGAGGTACAGCTGAGTGTTTTCCTATTTTTCTTGAAGATTTCTGATTAAAATGTTCTCTGTCCTTCAGCTTAACACCTGTTATGGTCTCTCTAGGGTTTAGTAACTTCAGTAATTTGAAGGAGCACAAGAAGACACACACGGCTGATAAAGTCTTCACCTGTGATGAGTGTGGAAAGTCTTTTAATATGCAAAGGAAGTTAGTAAAGCACAGAATTCGGCACACGGGGGAGCGGCCTTACAGCTGCTCTGCCTGCGGTGAGTTTGGGTTTCCGCCTGTCCCCTAGTCATCCGTGTGTGTGGGAAGGGCTTCGCCCCCCAGCCCTTGATTGCGTGTCTGGGATGAGCCCTTTGTTTTTTCTGTGGTGAAATGGGAGTAGTGCTGTTTTATTTACTGCCTCAACATGATCTCTCGTTCGTTCCTTCACTTGTGTGTCAGGCATTTGCTGCTTGTCTTTGAGGTATTAGGAACTGTCCTAAATGCTCCCAATACAAAGGTGACTAAGACAGAGTCCCAGGTGCTGAGGGCTCATGGTCCAGATGGGAAGAGGGAGAGTGGGGAGGGAGCAGGACGTGCAGCTGCACATGAAGAGAGCGGCCCAGGGCTGCAGAAGGGGGGTCCCGCCAGAGCCTTAGGAGGACATGCCGGGGTCAGGGTGGGCTTCTTTAGACCCCAAACTTACAGAGCAGAGGCCATTCTTGTGGGCACTTGATGGTTCGTTCTGAGCATCCGGGAAGGAGAGTGGAAACCTGGCAGCCCTCGGTTTCAGGCACCTGACCACTCCGATGAGGACATGGAGACTTGGGGTCAGGTAACGCATGACCCATGATGACAGTGCTGGAGCCAGGATCCCTACACACATGGCCTCTAAAGAGGGAGTGTGTGTACCCATCACAAGTAGTTGAGGTGCGTGTTGAATCATGGGCAAAATTATGAGTGACAGCAACTTTGATGATGATGTGTTTAGACCAAATAAGAAACAGCACAGAGTCCAGCTTAGGGAGCCTGGATTCAGGGCACCATTCGGAGGGGCTCATTCTGATTGTAGCTGGAATCCGAAACCGGCAGGACTTCTCCATGTAACCAGAGGAAACCTGGTTTCTGTCCCTCCATTTAAATTGTACACAGATCTTCTGGATACAGATTTAGGCACCTCCATGACCATTCTGATGACTCTTAGAAAGTGAGATTTCATCACTTTAAATCACTAACGTAGGAGCCTGCCGTGGTGGCGTGTGCCTGTAATCCTGGGTACTGGGGGCGTTGAAGCTGGAGGATCTCTCAAGCCCACGAGATCGAGGCTGCAGTGAGCCGAGGTCGCACCACTGCCTGGGTGACAGAGCAAGACCTTCATCTCAAAGAATCAGTAATGTAGTCTCAAATCACTGATATAAAATATCAGTTCTAAATAATTATCACAGCTGTGAACTTGATTTAAAGGTAAATTTTCTCCTCCCTCCCCAGCTAGGCCTTGCTACTGCTCAGACCCTGCAGTGGAGGGAGCAGAGTAGGCCCTTCTGTCCTCTCCACCCCGCTTAGGGTTCCGCCCTTTGCCTGCCTCACTAACTGTGGTTTCCCACCCTGACAAGGTCAGCTTCGGGGGACTAGGGGAGAGCTGAAGAGAGCAGGAACGTTATGTGACAGGGTCAATTTTTTAACAGCTTTGAGACAATAGTGCCATACCATAAAATTTACCAATTTCAAGTGAACAATTCAGTGGGTTTTGGTAGTTTGACAAAGTTGTATAACTCTCACCGTGGTCTAATTTTAGAACATTTTCATCACCCCAGAAGGAAGCCCTATACCCAGTAGCAACCCCACTCCCAGCCCTTGCCCCTGGCTGCCACTCCTCTAGGTTCTGTCTTTGTTACTACTTCTAGACGTTTCCTATGCATGGACTCATACAACATGGGGTCTTTTGTAGTCGACTTCTTGGACTCAGCAAATCAGCTGTAATATCCATGTACAAATGCTTGCGTGGGGGTGTGTTTCCATTTCCTTGGATCTCTAGACAGATCGATGTCAAGAGGGCTGCACGTGCTGAGCGTTTCAGTGTTGGAAACTCACAGGCTTGCGCTCTCGCTCTCATGCACGCCTGGGCTTCATGGTTCTTCTCAAATCTGCCTTCCCTCTCATCTCCCAGCATTTCACTGCACTTTCCAAGAGGCAGGCCTGCACGCGGCCATGTGTGTTCCTCCAGCTGGCCTCTTTCCTGGCTCCCTGGGTTTATTAGCCACTTACTATAGGGAGGGTTTGCTGGGCTTTCACTGCCCGTCAGGCATCCTCCCTGGCTGATTCCGAAAAGCTCCAGCATGCCTCTTGTCCAGTGGATGGCAGCACTCAGGCCTGATTCAGGGGCCTCTAGGCCCACAGCAGTGTGGCACCTACCCGCCTGTCCCCCACTAGACCTACTGTGCAGGAGGTGGACACTGTTCCTCTGTGCCCTCCTCACACCAGGACACAGATGGAGCCAAGCTTCTCTCTACTTGAGAGATGAAAGAGAGACAACCCCCTTTCCCCCTTTCTTGGTGGGAATTCTATCACGACTAAAAATTCTGCATATTAAGGATGCTAAAAGTGGTTGTCCCATCTTGTTCAGTAATTTATTGAGAATTTATCATAAGGAAACGATGTAAAGAAAGATAAAAACTTGGCTTGGCGTTGTGGCTCACACCTGTAATCCCAGCACTTTGGGAGGTCAGGGTGGGCAGATCCCACCTAAGGTCAGGAGTTTTAGACCAGCCTGGCCAACATGGTGAAACCTGTTTTCTACTAAAAATACAAAAATTAGCCAGGCATGGTGGTGTGTGCCTGTCGTTCCAGCTACTCAGGAGGCCGAGGCACAAGAATTACTTGAACCTGGGAGATGGAGGTTGCAGTGAGCCAAGATTGTGCCACTGCACTCCAGCCTGGGCACTCCATCTCAAAAAAAAAAAAAGAAGAAAAAAAGCCTTATGTTAGAGCAGCAAACAGTTGGAAGCAGCCAGCATGTGCAGCAGTGAAGCTTCTAGTTCACAGAATACCGCACGTCTGAGTAAAGTGTGTGCTGTAAGGACCACACGGAGACTAAATATGCTTTCACTCTAGCGTGAAGGAGCCTGAGCCTGACGTTGTGGGCAAAACACAGATGTGAAAGCACAAAGGCAAAGGTCACTGTGATGTGTTGCTGCAGTGTTTTGGTTTTTAAAATTTTTTTGAGACGGGGTTCTTTGTTGCTCATGCTGTAGTGCAGTCGTGGTGGTGCGATCACTGCTCACTGCCGCCAGGCGATCCTCCCGCCTCAGCCTCTGAGTACGGGGACCACAGACATGCACCACCACACCCAACTAACTTTTATTTTATTTTTTGTAGAGATGAGGTCCCACTGTGTTGCCCAGGCTGGTCTTGAACTCCTGAGCTCAAGCAGGTCCCCCGCCTCAGCCTCCCAAAGTGCTGGAACTAGAGGTGTGAGCCACCTCACCTGGCCTACAGTATTTTTTATATGGAAAATGTGCCCAAAGTTTAGTGCATGTAAGCTCACATCCAGTTTGATTATTCAAGGACTTTAAAAAACATACCCCGCCCATTGCTTGACTGGAGCTAGGTAGCTGAGAATTGAAATGTAAAGTGAAAAGTTCTAAATATTCATGTAAGTTGCGCAGCGTGTTCTTAGCTAGTCTGTGGCCTTTTAAGGTTATGTGCTGAGTTACTTCTCATCTTACCTATTCCCGTGGTGGAGCTAGATCCCTTCCCTTTCATATTCACAGAGAAAGGAAATAGATCCTGGAGAGGAATGCATAAAATGTTGTTAAAAGCTGAATACAGGGCCAGGCGCCTTGGCTCATTCCTGCAACCCCAGCACTTTGGGATGCTGAGGTGGGTGGATCACTTAAGGCCTAGGAGTTCAAGACCAGCCAGGCCAACATGGCAAAACCTCATCTCTACAGAAAATACAAAAATTAGCCTGGTGTGTTGGTGCATGCTTGTAATCCCAGCTATTCGAGAGGGTATGACATGAGAATTGCCTAAACCCAGAAGTGGAGGTTGCTGTGAGCTGAGATTGCACCACTGCGCTCTAGCCTGGGCGACAGAGCAAGACTCTGTCCCAAAAACAACAACAAAAACAAAAGCTGAATACAGGCCGGGTGTGGTGGCTCACGCCTGTAATCCCAGCACTTTGGGAGGCTAAGGTGAGCAAATCACTTGAGGTCAGGAGTTCAAGACCAGCATGACCAACATGGTAAAACCACATTTCTACTAAAAATATTAATATAAAAATTAGCCAGACAGGGTGTCAGGCATCTGTCATCCCAGCTACTCAGGAGGCTGAGGCAGGAGACTTGCTCGAACCTCAGAGGCAGAGGTCGCAGTGAGCCGAGACCACACCACTGCACTCCAGCCTGGGTGAAAGAGTGAGACCCTGTCTCAACAAAAAAACACCCGAGTACACAGACACCTTTAGAAAAGATGTTTCTGAATTATAGATTGGCTGTGTTAGATTTAGGAACATGTCAGTGAAACCGACGAGGAGAGCTGTGGTTTCTCAGCACGGGCTTGGCAGGTGCCCAGGGTACCCGTGTGCAGGGAGACTTGGTGAGAATCAAAGTCTCACACTGAGACACTCCAAACCCAAAGGCTGTTCATTGGAGGGGTCCGCATCTGGAGGAGCACCTCCCACAGGAACGGAAAGCCTTCCAGAGTGAGCAGGAGCTGCGAGGTGACCCCCTCTCCTCGGATCAGGGTTGTTCAGTGTCTTAGGAGGGAGGGGAGAACCCTTCCAGAATGGCTACTGTGAAAACATCTTTTTCCAGCCTGGGCATCGCCCTGTCTCTACCAAATGTGTATGTATATTAGCCAAGTGTGGTGTCATGTGCCTGTAGTCCCAGCTACGTGAGAGGCGGAGGAAAGAGATTGTTTGAGGCTAGGAGCTTAAGACCAGCCTGGGCCACATAGCGAGATCCTGTTTAAATAAATAAATAAATGTTTTTCTTTTTCCAGGGAAGTGTTTCGGGGGATCAGGCGACCTCCGCAGGCACGTCCGCACTCACACTGGGGAGAAGCCGTACACGTGTGAGATCTGTAACAAGTGCTTCACCCGCTCCGCAGTGCTCCGGCGGCACAAGAAGATGCACTGCAAAGCTGGGGACGAGAGCCCGGACATGCTGGAGGAGTTCAGCCAAGCCATCGAGACCTCCGACCTCGAGAAGTCTCAGAGCTCAGACTCTTTCTCCCAAGACACGTCCGTAACGCTGATGCCGGTGTCGGTGAAACTCCCCGTCCACTCAGGGGAAGATTCTGTGGCAGAATTTGATAGCCACTCTGGCGGCTCCTATTGCAAGTTACGGTCCATGATCCAACCTCATGGAGTTAGTGACCAGGACAAGCTGAGTTTGGATCCTGATAAACTTGCCAAGCCCCAGATGCCGCAGACACAGCCTCAGGCATATGCTTACTCGAATGTGGACTCCTCAGCCGGTGGTGAGCCACTGCAGGCGGATGGCATGGCCATGATCCGCTCCTCTCTGGCTGCTTTGGACAACCACTGTGGTGACCCCCTGGGTAGTCGAGCATCTTCCACCACTTACAGAAACTCAGAGGGCCAGTTTTTCTCCAGCATGACCCTCTGGGGGCTAGCGATGAAGACACTGCAGAATGAAAATGAGTTAGACCAGTGATGGACTGCACTTCTCCACGGTGGAGGCTTGTTCTCAGTTTGGCAGGCTGGTATCAAGCCTGCAGGAGGGCCAGGCCCAGTGGCTCACGCCTGTGTTCCCAGCACTTTGGGAGGCCAAGCAGGTGGATTACAAGGTCAAGAGATCGAGACCATCCTGGCCAAAATGGTGAAACCCTGTCTACTAAAAATACAAAAATAAGCTGGGCATGGTGGCGTGTGCCTGTAGTTCCAGCTACTCGGGAGGCTGAGGCAGGAGAAACATTTGAACCCGGTAGGCAGAGGTTGCAGTGAGCTGAGATCGCGCCACTGTACTCCAGCCTGGCGACAGAGCGAGACTCCATCTTAAAAAAAAAAGACTGCAGGAGGACCCAGTTTCTCCATGACTGTTCCTTCTAACTAGCCAGAGAAGAGCTAGGTTCCCTCCTGGTGAAGGCTCATAATCTGAAGCATTTTGAGCTGGGGGTTTGGGGAGGAGGGCCTCCTGGCTTATCATGAGGCAGCTGTGGGAGGGAGTGCTGACGTCACTGAAACCAAAGGCTTGATGCTGTCAGCAGCTTCAGCTCAAGGGAGAGTGCATGTGTCAGCTACTGTACATGTTGGTCACGTTAAAGGAATTAGATATGTATAATATTACAAATATTTTTGCATTTTTACAAGATTGAAATTTGTAGCATTTTATACTAAGTATTCACACAGAATTTATTTGTATATGAAACTCATACCATAATTTAATGTGAATAAATGAAGTTTTTCTATATAATATGTTTCCTCTAGCATTTTTATTAATCTAAAGACTATAGGAGTATAAAAATAAATAGCAGCGAGGACTCACCCTGCAAGGATAAGAGCCGCATCTGCCGACCTGCCCTCCTGGTACAGCAGGTTTCTGAGTGGTCGGAACAGCCTGACTCCTGGCTGCCACTCACCCTCTCAGGATCTTCCCTGGGGTTTCTTTTTTATAGTATGAGAGGAACATCTTCCAGCGTTTTTACAAGGCTTGACTTATCATCATCCACCTGAAAATACCTGCCCAGGGCCTGGCCCTTGAACAGGCTTTCTAAATATGTACTTCCCCTTCCCAGCGGGCTTGACAGTCTTTGCGAAAAGATGTGTTCATGGCGCTGACATTAGAATATCAAGGTGAGATTGTAGAGGGGAAGAGGTGGCTACCTTGTGGCACGTCACAGGCGATCTGCTTATGGCACTGCCTGTACAGAGGACTGTTGAGAGCACCCTTGAATACTCATGAGCAGCTCTAACTCAGACGTACAAGGTACCCAGCAAGAGACCAGTGAGGAGGTGAGGCTTTTCACAGAAGAACATCACAGTTTCAGAGTAGGGTATCAGCCCTAAAGTCCATTTCAGGTGCATTTCCTGGCTTTCCAACCATCAGCTGCGCTGTGGTCCTGCAGGCTGGCTCAGCAAACATCTGTTATCCCCGCTGTACACGTGAAGTCAACTTGGAACGCAATGGCTGCACACGAGGACCTTCCCCTTCCTCCCCGTGTCCTCCTCTTATGGCCTCCTCTGGCTCCTCCCTCATCCCAACTCCGGTAGCTCTTCAGCCTCCCAGCACCTACAGCCCATCCATCCCCTTGGCTGTCGCTGTGGGCCCTCCTTGGCCATCATTCACTCACCAAACCCTTCATCCATTTGACATGGTGACCCTGCAGCACTATCCACAGGGAGCACAGCCAGGCTGGTGAGAGACAGCCGTTCTCCAGTTTCTACAGCTCTCCTGAGCCCTCACCATCTCCTACAATCCCCTCTCCTTGATCCAGGCCACGTGCTGCCCTAGACGCCTGTGTCACCTTCTCAGACCTCTGCAGCTCACCTGTCCTCCTGTTTATGGCCTTGCTTCCTATTTCTCTCAACCTAGAAACTAATAGGGGCCGGGCACAGTGGCTCACACCTGTAATCCCAACACTGGGAGGCTGAGGCACTTGGGTCACTTATGGTCAGGAGTTGGAGACCAGCCTGGCCAACATGGTGAAACCCCGTGTCTACTAATAATACAAAAATTAGTCAGATATAGTGGCACACGCCTAGAGTCCCAGCTACTCAGGAGGCTGAGGCAGGAGAATCGCTTGAACCTGAGAAGCGGCGGCTGCAGTGAGATCGCACCACTGCACTCCAGTCTGGGCAACTGAGCAAGACTGCCTCAAAAAAATAATTTAAAAACAAGAGGTGGGGCATGGTGGTTCATGCCTGTAATCCCAGCACTTTGGGAGGCCAAGGTGGGTGGATCACCTGAGGTCAGGATTTTGAGACCAACCTGACCAACATGGAGAAACTTCATCTCTACTAAAACTACAAAATAAGCCAGGCATGGTGGCATGTGCCTGTAATCCTAGCTACTTGGAGGGCTGAGGGAGGAGAATTGCTTGAACCCAGGGGGAGGCAGACGTTGTGGTGAGCCGAGATCACGCCATTGCACTCCAGCCTGGGCAACGAGGGAAACTCCATCTGAAAAAAAAAATAATAGGAAAGAACGTTTCTCAAGCACCTCCCTACCTCCCCGTATGTATGCCCGTGGACTCTGCACCTTCCCATCTAAAACCAGCCTGCCCCAACGCCTTGATTTCCCACCCCTGCTTTTTCTCACTAAGTCTTGTTCTTACCATCTGACCTACTTACTATATATTCTTCCTCCATTAGGATGTAAGGTTTTTTTTTTTTTTTTTTTTTTTTTTTTAAATAGAAATGGAGTCTCATTATGTTGCCCAAGCTGATCTAAAACTCCTGAGCTCAAGTGATCCTCCTGCCCAGGCCTCTCAACGTGCTGGGGTTACAGGCATGAGCCACCAAGCCTGGCCAGGATGTAAAGCTTTGTGTCTCTTTTGTTTACCACTGTATCCTCAGTGCCCAGAACAGTGCCTGACACTAAATGCTCAGTAACAAATTGTCAAATGAATGCCTTTGGAATACTTTTTCGTCAAAATACTGGACTTCCTAGATTAATTTTCTTTTCTCCTGAGCCTTGTTCATCAGACGTTTGTCCCATCACTCCACTGAAACGCTTTTTGCCCATGTGGCCTACGACCTCTCCACTGCTAAACCCAGTGATAATCCTCAATCCTCATCCTAATGACTCTTAGGGTACATAGGACACTTCAGCAGCAAATAGATTCCTTTTTTTCTCCTTGAAACAAGAACCAAGAGGACCATCCCACTCAGTTTCCCCTTCATGCACAGGCAGCTCAGTCTTGCACTCCTTCCCCTACCCCAACACACATCTTAAAGTTGGGGTGCCCAACTTTAAGAGCACAGGCCCTGGACCTCCTCTCTGGCCTTGCTCTGTCCCTAGGCCATCTCTTCACTGACAGAGAAGGAGCATGTTCATCTTGGACAAACAACTCCACTTTAAGTCCACCCGCTCCCTTTCTAACCTCCTGCATTTCAAGGAAATCACTTCTCTTCTAACAACAAGCAGCCAGGAAGAGCAGACAATAAAACACAGATAAGACAGCTTGGGCACAGAGGGAGGGGGGAAATTCTCTTGGATAACCACCAAACTTCACCCTCCTAAAATGGGTCCCAGTAAAACAGTGAGCCCTAATAAGCACATTCCTTTCCCTTTAGATACCCTAAGATAAGGAAGCTAAAAGCAGACTCAGCGAGTATGCCTGTAGCTGCAAGATGATGTATAGGAACAGACACAAAAACTCTCCCTCCCAGATACGCAAGACAAAGAGACACAGAAAGTTTCTGAGCCTGTGATAAGCTCTCCCACCCTGAACCCTTAAATACCTTTAGTCTATAAGAGAGAGGGCTTCTGACCTAACTCAGCCAGAAGCCCCTCTCAGGTTTATTCTCCAAAATAAATGTATCTTTGACTGTTGAGCTGCTTTTCATGTTTCTTTCCTCTTCATTTAGCTCTTACATTCACATCGCATGAACTTAAGTACTGTCTGCCCATAACTCCTCCCGGAACTCTGGATTTCTGTCCTGAGCTGCCAACCACTGTCTTCAAAGACACCCCAAACTAAGAGCTTTCAAGACCAAGCTCCTTGTCCTCTCCCCAATTCATGACCACCTTATTAAATGGCAATCTTGTTCCTCCAGGATTTTTTTTTTTTGAGATGCAGTTTCACTCTTGTTGCACAGTTTGGAGTGCAATGGCATGTTCTTGGCCCATTGCAAACTCCGCTTCTCTGGTTCAAGTGATTCTCCTGCCTCAGCCTCCTGAGTAGCTGGGATTACAGGCACCTGCCCCCAACGCTGGGCTAATTTTTTTGTATTTTTAGTAGAGACGGGGTTTCACCATGTTGGCCAAGCTGGTCTCAAACTCCTGACCTGTGGTGATCTGCCTGCCTCAGCCTCCCAAAGTGCTGGGATTACAGCCACTGTGCCTGGCCCTCCTCCAGGATTTTTATTCAGTAAAAGTTCTGAGGGTTTTACTCAGGCTAAAAACCTTAAGAGTGGCCTTACTTCATCAGGAAGCACTTATGGAGTTGCCTCCTGTATGCCAGGCCCTGGGTTTGCCAAAGGCTCAGAGAACAAGACACCTAGGCCAAGGTAACAATTTTGAATAAATCTGCTTGATGAGGACAATAATTTGCTCTTGTAGAATAAAACTTTAGGGAATAGCATTAAAACCAAAGCTCTCAGCTGGGCTCAGTGGCTCATGCCTATAATTCCAGCACTTTGGGAGGCCGAGGCAAGTGGATCACTTGAGATCAGGAGTTCAAGAGCAGCCTGGCCAACATGGTGAAACCCCATGTCTACTAAAAATACAAAAATTAGCCAGGTATGGTGGCGGGCACCTGTAATCCTAGCTACTTGGGATGCTAAGGCAGGAGAATCGCTTAAACCTGGAGGCAGAGGTTGCAGTGAGCCGAAATCATGCCACCGCACCCCAGCCTGAGCAATAGAACAAGACTCTGTCACAAAAAACAAAAACCCCAAAGCTCTTTTCACGTTTCCTGTTTCTTCCTTTTCTGTCCTTGTTACCCCGGCCCCAAAGCCTTAACCTAAAGAAAGAAAAACTCAGAAGAGGTGAAAATGCTTGGATATGTGTGAATGCAAACGTGGACAGCACAGTATCTGACAGTGGACAAGACCTTGACCTTGTGCTGTACACACAGCATGGGCCATCTACAGCAAGAATAACTCTGTGTGTGTGTGTGTGTGTGTGTGTGTGTGTGTGTGT